CCCCATTCTCTTGTCATTTCAATGAAAAATGTCAACAAATCGCTTGAATTAGCTACAAAACATTTGAATTGGCAACAAATCACAATCACTCGATTTAAGCGAAAAAACACTTAAATTAGCTTACTTTGTTCCCACCCAGGACGCCTAAACACGTACCAGTTAAAAACTCGGCTAAAAATGGTAATCGCTTTAAATTTAATTGCTAATTTGTTGTTCATTGATATCAAATAAAGTTTTTAAAACAAAAGTTTGCTCTGTAAAGTTTAATTTTGTCTATCTACAAAGCTTTTTATCTGCACCTATAATTATGGGCCACCCTGTAAATAGCTACTTTAACAAACTGCTGGTAACAATTGAACTGTTACTTAAAACAAAAGTGTAAATTTAAGGCTTTTTGCAGGATTTTTCAATTGAAAACAGGTTCAAATAGGTGAACGCCATGACAGTTTGCCTTCAGCGCACTACAATGCTTCTTTGGAGAGCTAGGTGGCTTTGACCAGGATGGTTTAGGTGTAGAAATGCTCCCCAGAATTTCCGCTTCAAAATACTATATAGTAAGTCAAATCTCGATCTGGATTTTAGCGGAAAAATGGAGCTTCTTTTGTAAAGCGGGAACTTTTTGATCACCCTGTCGAAAATTTTTAGCCAGCCGGAATATCTTTAGCTTTAGTTTATGCTCACCTCATCGTCGATTTCATATGGTTGCACATCTTTCAGACGAGCGGCACTTGGATTGTATTTTGCCTGAAAGTGAGTATACGATTCGAGTTGAATAAACACTAGCTTGTGCACCTTGTGCTCAAAAAATGGAAACGCATGCTTTCTGATCCATTTTTTTTCATTAAAAGAGAAAGCAGAGATTTAATGCATCAAAAAGAGCACAAAGTTTTTGAGCACACGTTTTTGAGCACAAAGTACACCAAAACAACTCTTCAACTAACCCTCCACAAATTTTGTTCAGCATTTATCCGATCGACCATGTCCTGATGATGCTTTCGATCATCGTAACTGTGCGATATTAGACCATCAACTGAATTTTGTCTTTATAAATGTCATAAAATTTGTCCCTTACCCCATCCAGGATGACTTTTCACATAAACCAACAATGAAATTGCTAAGCCAACGAGAAGAAGGAAAATGCAAATCTGAATCGAAAATGTTACTTTTTAGAAGTTTAGAAACTCACACTAATGATTAATCCGTCATTGTAACATTTCAACCTTCGTCGACCGGGAGATTTGACAATAATTTTATGATGTTCTGAAATATAGAGAATTTTTACATATACATTTAAATTCTGAAATATAAAGAGTTGCAAAAAACGTACTTTGTTCAACGAGTGACTCTTCCACATCATCTTTGGGCATCCCAAAAGTGTCCCAGTTTAATGGATGAGGAGTTTTATGTGTCTAAAAGAAATTTGTAAATAAAATAGAGCAAAATTTATCAAATATTTTGAAAGTAAAGTAAATTTTGGACCCTGGGGATTGCAATGAGAACAAAAAAGTAATTTCAAAATGCTTGGAAAGCCGATTTTTCTTATGAAATCGCGTTAATCTCAAAAGAATAGTAAATCTTTTCCACGATTGCAAACCCACAAAAAAAATGAGAACAGAAATCAGCTATCAATATTGAGAAATCGAGAAATAAACCAAGGTCAAATAGGTGTTTTTGCGAGGAAAATCTTGTGGCTTTTGTTAGCAAACAAAAGGAGCAAAGTTGGGATTTGATAAAATACTTGCACACTTAGAATTGCACGTAAATTTGCAATGCTTAAAGCGAGAACGTGTGTTGCTGGGTTTGTTTTCCCCGAAAGAATTAGAATCGTTGAATCGAAAGGTTTTCGAAAATGCAACGCCGATAGCTTTGAGCTATTTCTCAAAGTCAAAAAAAAGAAGAGCTAAAAGGAAAGGATAAAACAGAAAAATTTACTTAGCTTAATGCTTTGGCTTAATTGAAAGCTTTAGTAAACTTTTTCATGTAGTTTTCCTTATTAAATACAGTCGAAATTCGATATGTCGTAGCTGATTATGAATGAAATTTTTTGGCGAACCTTCCTAGTAGAGCAACACTTTAATGTATGAGGACAATATTATATCATTTCGTAGCGAATTAAATTCTACGTCGATTGGAACCAAAATTGTGAGTTTAGGTTAAAAATTGCGGGTGCTACAACCTTTCATTGCGAACGAATTTGCCAAATTTTTTCATTCTACGTTTTCTAACTTAGACTCTCCCAGTCCACTTTTTTCTCTTAGTAAAACCGTCCCACTTCAACCAGACTTTATGATTCTTCCCATGGATGTCGAGAAAGCTTTTAGAAACTTAAAGCCAAAGAAAACCACCAGTCCAGATGGGATTTCTCCATTTTTTCTAAACAAACTCTCCAGAATCCTCATCTCCCCCCTTTGCAAGAGGTTTAACAAGATTCTCCTACAAGGCAAGATCCCCTCAATTTAGAAGCAATCTTTGGTCGTCCCCATCAATAAAACCTTACCAAAAATGTTTTCTCTAATTACCGTCCGATTAGTCTTACTTCTCCTGTTTCTGAACTCTTCGAAACTATTTTGAAAGACAATATTATCTCCCATTTCCAAACGCACAATTTATTCTCCCCATCTCAATTCGGTTTCCTAAAAAATAAGTCAACTGTGTCGAACCTTATTCTTGCTTATAGAAACTTTGTTGACGCCATTGAGCAAAATCATAAAGTCCAGCTTGAAGCTGTCTTCTTAGGTTATGCGAAGGCTTTTGATACCGTTTCCCATTCTCGTCTCAAAGTCAAACTGTCAGCGTATCAAATTAATCCATCGATTGTAAATTGTATTATGAACTTTCTTGAAAACCGGTCATTCAAAGTTTTAGTTCTTAATTCCCTCTCCAATCCTTTGCCTTGTCCCAGCGGTGTCCCTCAGGGGTCTATCTTGGGCCCTCTTCTTTTTACTATTTTTATTAATGATCTCCCTAGCTTAAAATTCTTTTCCAAGGACGTTTCTCTTTGGCTTTTCGCCGACGACGTAAAGATCACATTTAAAATTCCCTTTTGCAAAGATTTTGTTTCAAAATCTGAATACTTTCGAATGATTGATCAAGACATCCAACTAATTGTAAACTGGTCTAAAACTTTGGGATTAAATCTCTCCCCAGCTAAGTCTTCTCATTTTTCCACTGGCAAATCTTCTCTTCCTTTAACCCTCGATAATCATCCTATTCGTTTGGTAGAAAAAAATGGATATCTGCGTGATTTGGGAGTCCTTATTAGTCCTCCTCTTAGTTTCCGTTTTCACATTGAATCCATGTGTAATAAGGCCTCCGTAAGTGCTAACCCTATCCTCAGGTCTATTACCATACCGAACATCAAAACTTATCGGATGTGTTTTGTTGCTTATGTCCGCCCAATTCTTGAATACGCTTCTTTGGTTTGGTCTCCTTCCCTATTAAATCTTATTCAAAAAATAGAACGTGTTCAGAGGCACTTCACCAGAATAGCTCTTTATAAAATTAATTTCAACAAATTCTCCTCCTTTACTTATTCTGATAGATTGCAACTCTTTGGTCTTGAAATGGTACACCAACGCCGCCTTATCAACGATTTAGTGGAATGCCTTAAAATTGTTAAAGGTATTCATCCCGACCCCCTTTTTTCTGGTCTCTTTGAATTCGGCTCTCTACGGGGCGCCTCCAGAAGGGCGCCTTTTCTCATACGCCAACCTTCCGTTTCCTCTAAAAGCCCCCACAGTTTCTTTTTTAATCGAGTTATTAAATTCTGGAACATTTTACCCCCTCATGTTCGTGATATTTCCACCTTGGCTAGATTTAAAGCCGCAATTTCGGCAATCGATTTGACTGCTCTGTGATTCTTTCTTGAGGTATCTATTTATTCGATAAAAATTCGACTGCCTTTAAAATTATGTCCAGCAGTGTATATTCAACGCAGAATTATTGATAATTATGTTAAATTTTTTTAAATTAGAAAGATTGTATAAAAAGAAAAAAATTACGGGGCTTCAAAGTTTTCTCTCGAACAAACAATTTTTTTGCTCTAATTCTTTTTGCTTTTCATCAAATCTTGCTAATTTAAAAAATTTAACACAATCAATGTTTCTGCGTTGAATGACACCAAACACTTGATGGTTGGACGCTTCTAGACCCACTCATTCATAATCGGCTACGGGAATCCCACCGATTTTGAATGAAACGTTGTAGCACCCGCAATTTTTAACCTAAACTCACAATTTTGGTACCAATGGACGTAGAATTTAATTCGCTACGAAATGATATAATATTGTCCTCATACATTAAAGCGTTGCTCTACTAGGAAGGTTCGCCAAAAAATTTCATTCATAATCGGCTACGACATATCGAATTTCGACTGTATTTAATAAGGAAAACTACATGAAAAAGTTTACTAAAGCTTTCAATTAAGCCAAAGCATTAAGCTAAGTAAATTTTTCTGTTTTATCCTTTCCTTTTAGCTCTTCTTTTTTTTGACTTTGAGAAATAGCTATCGGCGTTGCATTTTCAAAAACCTTTCGATTCAACGATTCTAATTCTTTCGGGGAAAACAAACCCAGCAACACACGTTCTCGCTTTAAGCATTGCAAATTTACGTGCAATTCTAAGTGTGCAAGTATTTTATCAAATCCCAACTTTGCTCCTTTTGTTTGCTAACAAAAGCCACAAGATTTTCCTCGCAAAAACACCTATTTGACCTTGGTTTATTTCTCGATTTCTCAATATTGATAGCTGATTTCTGTTCTCATTTTTTTGTGGGTTTGCAATCGTGGAAAAGATTTACTAATCTTTTGAGATTAACGCGATTTCATAAGAAAAATCGGCTTTCCAAGCATTTTAAAATGACTTTTTTGTTCTCATTGCAATCCCCAGGGTCCAAAATTTACTTTACTTTCAAAATATTTGATAAATTTTGCTTTATTTTATTTACAAATTTCTTCTAGACACATAAAACTCCTCATCCATTAAACTGGGACACTTTTGGGATGCCCAAAGATGATGTGGAGGAGTCACTCGTTGAACAAAGTACGTTTTTTGCAACTCTTTATATTTCAGAATTTAAATGTATATGTAAAAATTCTCTATATTTCAGAACATCATAAAATTATTGTCAAATCTCCCGGTCGACGAAAGTTGAAATGTTACAATGACGGATTAATCATTAGTGTGAGTTTCTAAACTTCTAAAAAGTAACATTTTCGATTCAGATTTGCATTTTCCTTCTTCTCGTTGGCTTAGCAATTTCATTGTTGGTTTATGTGAAAAGTCATCCTGGATGGGGTAAGGGACAAATTTTGTGACATTTATAGACAAAATTCAGTTGATGGTCTAATATCGCACAGTTACGATGATCGAAAGCATCATCAGGACATGGTCGATCGGATAAATGCTGAACAAAATTTGTGGAGGGTTAGTTGAAGAGTTGTTTTGGTGTACTTTGTGCTCAAAAACGTGTGCTCAAAAACTTTGTGCTCTTTTTGATGCATTAAATCTCTGCTTTCTCTTTTAATGAAAAAAAAATGGATCAGAAAGCATGCGTTTCCATTTTTTGAGCACAAGGTGCACAAGCTAGTGTTTATTCAACTCGAATCGTATACTCCCTTTCAGGCAAAATACAATCCAAGTGCCGCTCGTCTGAAAGATGTGCAACCATATGAAATCGACGATGAGGTGAGCATAAACTAAAGCTAAAGATATTCCGGCTGGCTAAAAATTTTCGACAGGGTGATCAAAAAGTTCCCGCTTTACAAAAGAAGCTCCATTTTTCCGCTAAAATCCAGATCGAGATTTGACTTACTATATAGTATTTTGAAGCGGAAATTCTGGGGAGCATTTCTACACCTAAACCATCCTGGTCAAAGCCACCTAGCTCTCCAAAGAAGCATTGTAGTGCGCTGGAGGCAAACTGTCATGGCGTTCACCTATTTGAACCTGTTTTCAATTGAAAAATCCTGCAAAAAGCCTTAAATTTACACTTTTTTTTAAGTAACAGTTCAATTGTTACCAGCAGTTTGTTAAAGTAGCTATTTACAGGGTGGCCCATAATTATAGGTGCAGATAAAAAGCTTTGTAGATGGACAAAATTAAACTTTACAGAGCAAACCTTTGTTTTAAAAACTTTATTTGATATCAACGAACAACAAATTAGCAATTAAATTTAAAGCGATTACCATTTTTAGCCGAGTTTTTAACTGGTACGTGTTTAGGCGTCCACGGTGGGAACAAAGTAAGCATGATCGAGTTCATCCCAGGCTTTCAAAAGACTTTTCTTCAAACTTTCAACATTTCAATTCATTAGCTAATTCAAGCGATTTGTTGACATTTTCCATTGAAATGACAAGAGAATGGGGTGTTTAAGCCGTTTGTTGCTAATTTAAGTGTTTTTCTCGGTTAAATCGTCGCAAAAGCATCATCGAGTTCATCCCAGGCTTTCAAAAGACTTTTCTTCAAACTTTCAACCTTTTTATACGGTTTTGAGCAAGCTTTGACTTCAAGGACGGGCCAGATAAGATAATCCAACAGATTAAAACCCGGTGAGCTGGGTAGACATTTAGAAAGATGAAATCAGGAAACTTCACTTTGGACTTTCTTGGCTTTGTGGGCCGGAGCCTCGTTTTGTTGAAAGGTCCAAATTTGGTTTTTTGAAATACTTTTATGCTTAGTGCAAAATTTCAGCTTTGAGAAGATCGAAATAGTTAATAATAATAATAGATAATAAGCCACTGCACCTATAATTATGGGTCACCCTATAGAAAAATCCAAACCTAAGTCGGAGTGTAAAAAGTTCAGTATAAAGAGTAGTCAATAAGCTTGCCGATTTAGGAATATTGTTAGTTATTTTGAATTAGTCAAAAAAACAACTTAATTTTGAGAAAATGTTGGAAAGGCACCGGAACGAGACAAGTGAAGAGGCTTTGCAGGATACGAAAACTCATCTCATACAACTGTTGGGGTAAACCATAATAATAACTTCAGATAAACATAGGCTTGACTGCTTGCTTTAACACTTGAAATGAGGCTAAAACGAAATCGTGAACTAATTTAGCCTGAGGGATCATCTACCGAAGACATTCGACGCGAGAAGGCGGTGGCCCGATTGTCAGTCGATGCGTCAAATTCTCGATCAAGCCGGGTGTGGATCTTGTTGGGTGAGTGACCATCTCGATATTTACCTCTGTTTCTTTGAAGGCAGCTTCCGCCGCATCGGTGATGTCCGACAGGATATGCATAGCTTCAAATGGAAAACGACAAATACAAATCTCGGTCGAGGATCTCTTGGCATGTTGTCCACACTGTGGAGGGTTTGTGATCAAAGGGAATTTTGCAAAAATCTTCAAAAGTCCTGATTGTATCGGATCCGGATCTTCTCGCGCCAGAAAGTCGAGGGTTAGGCTGCCAGAAAGTCTTTTCGTTCCTTTTCGTACTTTCGTTGAAAAATAGCAAATTCACTGATTAACCTATCAGTGAAGAGACTTTCTGGACAGCCTTAGATACTGAAAAAACGGATTAGTTTCGATCAGTGGTTTGATCCAAATTGAACCGGATCAAACCAAATCGAATTCTACTGATCAACTCAAAAGTGCCTTTGTTTATAATTGTTATTTTTCAGTTGTCTTGGCAGTCTGCATTCGATCTCTCCATTTATCCATTTCAAAGAGCATGGGATTGTGACAGGTAAATGTTTGCGTAACCATTAATTTAATACCCTATAAGGCACTCTTGATATATTTCAATGCTATTTTTGAAAGCAATACATCACAGCTTTTACTGTCCGACTTAATCTTGCTCAATATCATTATTTTAGGTGGTGAATTCAACTCAAATGTTGGCTGCAAGCCCTACTCTTTTCCGCCAAATTGTGGCAGTCCTTGTTCACCGAGCAATTTTGACTTATCGAGAACTCCAAAATGCAGCAAACAATGTCGTCCTGATTATGAGAAAACTTATGAAGAAGATTTGATCAGAGGTTTGTGTTATTAAATGTCGCAATCAAATTCAGTTTAGCCAGCCAAGCCTATTGGGTTTGGGCAGATCGATCCTTGTTTGATGTGGCCACAACGGAAAAGATGTGGCCATGGCAGTTAAAACTTCATCTTCAGGACAAGTGTAAGTATAGGGTAGTAGAAGCGCACCTTTTTGGTGCATTAGGTTAGGTTATTTCCGTTTTTGTGAAGTTGCTCAAAATGATAAAAGTGTTTAATTGCACAGTTTAGAGAAGCTTATGAAGATTTCAATAGCAGAGATTCTAATACTAGGTTGATGAAAAGAAATTTCGTTTGCTGTAACATGTTCTATTTTTTAGTCTGGAAATCTTATTTGATTTTCTTTCGTATATTTGTACGCTTGAATATTTGCTTTATTTTTACGCTTTTTTTAAGTTAGAGCTTTCACTTTTTAATTGATATTTGCTTTAGATCATGGTGGATCAAAAGTATGTTGTGCGCGCGTTTCTTTACGATTTCAAGATGGGCAAAAACGCTGCCGAATTATATCATGTTCTCTGTTCTGCTTTTGGAGAACAAGATCAAAAGGCCTGCCAGCTCTCGTTTGCCTGATTCAGAAAAGGTATTCAATCTTGTGAAGACATGATTTTCTCAACGAACCACATGGGCATCGCTCGGCAGCGACCATAAAAATGAATTGGAACAACTTATTGAAGCGGATCCAATGCAAACAACATCAGAGCTTGCCAAACATCTCCAAAGTGATCAATTAACAATTGTCCTCCATTTCGAAATAATCGGAAAGACCAATCGTATGAACTTCTTGCACAAAGCTTCTTGCATGAACGTATGAACAAAGAAAGCTTCTTGTAAGGAGTTAGAGGAATTAGGAAGGAATGTCTTATCGCATGCGCCATATATTTCAGACTTATCACTATCTGACTTCCACCTCTTCAGATCGATGCAACATTCCCTTGCGAATTGCCAATTTAAGAATGAGCAAGAGCTCGAGATTGGGGTGACCGACTACTTTCAATCATAGAATCAAGAGTTCTTCGATAGAGCAATCTGAAGCAATGTTGGAGGGATGTTATAGATAACGATGTTGCTTATTGTTGGGAATAAATTGTTACCTAAAGGAGTTTTGATTAAATTTAATGTTTGTAAAAAGACGAAATTTCTTTTACATCAACCTAGTAGCAGAGATTCCAAAGCGGAGTTTTCTAAGATTTTAAAGCTTCAAATAACTCTTTTTTTTTCAGAACTGGACTTGGATTGAATCAATTGCCATTTATTTTTAGATAGCGAAGAGCTGATCAAACGCGAGATCTACCACTTTGGCCCCATTCAAGCCTGTATGACCATCCATGAACAGTTTCAACACTATGAATACGGTGAGTTCAGCATGGGGATTCCAACCAGCACATAAGCCAGATTGTAGCATTATGGAATGTAGCAGAAGCCAAGTCTTAGACTTTGCTAGAATTAGACCAAGCTAGTGTCTAGTTTTTGCCTTTCCAGAGCCTCAAAACTAATTTTGAAATACGATTTCAGGAATCTACTCAAGTGAAACTTTCTCCAATGTCATTTATGGTCATTGTATGAAATTGTTGGGATGGGGTGAACAAGATGGAAAAGAATATTGGCTATACGCGAACTCGTGGGGGAAAAGCTGGGGAGAGAATGGTAATTTTTAGTAGGATTGGTACACAAAATATATTTTAGTCTAACCAAGATTGGTACAAATTTGATTCTTCAGGTTTTATACGAATCAATATGAAAGACGCTATATTGCACGCCTCGGCTGGACTTTTATGAAATTGCTCATTAGATTGGGATTAATAAATTGGTTTGACTTTGTGGGCAAAACAAAAATAGATAAATAATTATTGTGAATGAGAAGCAGAACTTGTTAGGGCCATTAATTGTTACCTACTAGCACATTGGTTTTGCAATGGGATCTTAGAGTTGAAATGGGGACAAGTATCACAGCCTAGATTTTGTTGGATCTAATAAAAGTTCTTCCACAAACGACCAACATCACATTTGTTCTCGGTTTCACTCCAAAACTAACTCTTGATTGATTGCAACAACGTACTTTAACCGACCTAGAACCAGAGGTCCTTGACGACCTGACTCGACTCGACGCTCGTTAACCGAGTCGAGAGTCGTCACTATTTTTCATTTAATATTTAACTTCTCGGCTCACAAGATCGAAGTTACATGGAAATTTCTAAAGGATTTGCAAATTGATTCGATTCTGGTACCTGTAGGGTGCACCAAGTACATTCAAGCACCGGATGTGGTCTGGAATGCTCCTTTTAAAACAAGGATTCGAGCCCAATATGAAGCTTAAATGTGAATGGTCCCAGGCATTTAATATTTAACTTCTCGACTCACAAAATCAAGCTTGACAAGCTCAAGCAATTTGCGAGCCGCTAAACCGTCAATGTTAAGAAATCTGGAATAGAGATTGCAAAAAGGGATGTAATCAATTTCAAGCCAATTTCCTAGTTGCCTAAATTGTAGCCAATCAATTGTTTAGAATCTCTTTAGCTAATCGAATTGGTCTTGAAAAGAATGACACAAAGATTTCAACATTCCAACAAAAGAGAATAAGAATATTGCATTAATTTGCGTTTTTGTTAATGTGAAAATGAGACTTTTCTGCCACAAGCATCAAGAATTACAATTTCGATTACAAAATGCAAATTCGAAAAATGAGTAATCACTGAGGAGCGATTGACTAAAGCCCCAATGCTAAAATGCTCCAAAGCTCAAAACATTTATCAAATCTGTTTCATTTCCATAAAGGGTCCGCCATAATTGTCGCAACAAGGTATTACGCGCCGTAGCAAGGTAATAAGGTAGTTAATGCTACCTGACTCTTCTCAAGGATGAACTCTTGCCCTGGGCCCGTTAACATTTTGGAAATTGCATTTGGACTTATCAGCAAGATGGCGCAGCGGCCCACAAATCCAAGAAAGTCCAAGAGTTCTGCCAAAACAACTTCCCGGACTTCATTTCTTTTTCTGAGTGACCACCTAGCTCTCCAGACCTCAACCCAATAGTTTTTCAGTGTGGTCGGTTCTAGAAGCCAAAGCTTGTTCAAAGGCCCACAAAAACATCAAAAGCTTGAAGAAATCACTATTGAAAGCGTGGAAAGAGCTCGATGCAGCCTATTTGGTCCCATCGTTGACGCCTTTCCGAAATGCCTGCGAGCCTGCTCAAATCATGGTCGATTATGATGGCCGATTCGAATTTGATAGTTCAATTATAATTGTTAATGTACAATAAATGTTTTTCAGTTAAAATTTTATTTTTTTGCTCTTGTCTGCCTTAGAATCAGAACTTTATCTTGTTGCGACAATTATGACGCACCCTGTCTACTTCAACAACTATTCGGTCCAATGAAAATTGTTAAAAACAATTCAAAACAGACTATATTTTTCATTAATTTCTCATCTCATTTCCCATTTCCAGATTCCCCAAAGACTTCGCAGGTGATTAGTGTCTAAATTTGCCTCTAATCACTACCTTGTCAACCCAAAAAAAACATTTCCAGCTGTCTCGACCTATTCAAATGTATCAGAACCCCATTGATTCTCATTCTCTCAAAAATTTTGATGGAATTTCAATTCATCATCTACTGTATCTACGGAATTCCGTCAGCGATTCTCAATCTTTTACTAATTATATGCATTTTCAAGAGTAAAACCCTTCTACAAGCATCTTTCTATCGGGTTTATTTATTCGTTTTGTGCGTGGTCAGTTGTAAACTTTAAAATAAATCACATATTTCTAAAGCTAACTTTAGTATCTCTTCACCTATATTAACACATATCCGACAGTGAAATTGCCGGCGTTGCGAGCGTTGGCTCCGTTTTTTGCCAATGTCGAGGACACATTTCCGCCATTTCGCGTGTTTTTCATGTTCCAAGTGGCCGCATTTCACATCCAGAACATGTCCCTTTTGTTAATGCATCTCAATCGATTCACTAGTGTTTTAATGCCGTTTTCTCATCATCGAGTAAGTGAGCTTCTCAATCAAGTATCATTATTGAGCAAAAAGAACTCTGCTTTAGCCTTCCAAACCACCTTTTGCACTATAAAAGTTAAAAATTACCCATCGCCTGAGCTTACGCACGTCTAAAAACGTTTGCTGTTACGTATCTAGTGATAGAAAACAATTTTTAAACATTTCTAAACATTTCTAAACATTCTTAAACATTTTTAAACATAAACAACATTTCTGTTGATCTTCCATCGAGTTAGCCTCTTTTTAAATCATTTCCTACAGCCTGTCAAGCCTGTCAAAGCATCTCAAAGCTCAAGCCTGTCAAAGCATCTCAAAGCTCAAGCCTGTCAAAGCATCTCAAAGCTCAAGCCTGTCAAAGCATCTCAAAGCTCAAGCCTGTCAAAGCATAGTAGTTGTGCTAAATATTCGGCACCACCGTTGCGATTTCCATTCAAGACTACAAATTTACATCCAAAAGTAGTTCTAAAGTAAGAAAAACGTGAAACGACTACGGAACTTCGCTCTATCAAGTATCATTATTGAGCAAAAACTCGACTTCGCTCAATTGTTATCTCGTCTGAATGCCTTTCCCTCCCCCAATCTTGTTGTTTCTCAATTTGTTCATTTCCTCACTGTTAAGTCAGTGTTAAATACAAATTAAATCAGTTAAATTGTGGCAGTTTGGGACAAATCTTGGTCCATTTTGCTCGAATCCTTCCGCATTTTAGCCTCATTATTGAATTCGTGCAAGTAATCCGTTGGGTTGAGGTAAAAGTACAAATAACGGGTAGTTGGGTCGCCAGCTCCCTGTTCCCGTGACTCAATTGAAGCTTTGAATGCACATCCATACATATTTTGCCCTTTAGAGTTCCTATAGGGTTACAGGCCGGGCTTCGGAAGAGTGCGGTGACGATCCAAGAATCAAACATACAGGGTGAGCCAAAATTACGGCTTCACCTTTTCATCAGATTGCATGCCAAACGCTGCAATCACTTCAAAAACCCTAAGTGTTATATAGTGAAATGAAGCCTAAATTCTTACCTACATTTCTGTATTAAAAGATCTTTGATTGGAGTTTTGTTTTTGATTTTACAGACCCTCAAATGAGCCCAATCCGACCAGTCTCGGGCATGCTTCCAGTTTTAGCTGTTTTCTAACTAAATTTGGGCTTCAATTCTCAGTTTTTAGGTTTGTACGTGTTAATCGGTGTTTATAAAACAGGTCTTTATTAGAAAGAAAACAAAACAATAGGGAAGGTGTGTGAAGAAAGAGTGAATCAATAATGAGCTGTGGCGATGCGAGGCTTAGTCAGTGATCGAATCACATCTGCGAACCACTTTGCACCACTTTACCAACTAAAGAATTTTTTGCGGGGGAGAATTTAAATAGAGACAAGAGAGGACAAAGATCTTCAGATACAAAGGAAAAAGATATTCAGTTGGGTTCACCGAACATCAAACACAAGAGAATTTAACATGAAAAGAGCGAGAATAGGAAATATTAGGTTGTCCGGAAATAAATGAGCGTTTTTAACTTGAATATTTTAAATACCATAGCTTGATCCAAACAAAACTTTATTAATCGAAATAAGAAACATTGTAATTAACGCATTTTTGCCAACGAGAAACAAGTTTATTTATGGCGGTAGCATAGAAGTCCGGGCTTCTGGTGGCGATAAAGTCGGCGAAGGCGTCTGGAGTTTTGAAGCATTTCTCCTTTTGAAGTTTTGAAGCAGAAAGTTGTCGAGGTGCTTGAAAAAGTGGTAGTCGGTAGACGAAAGGTCCGGCGAATATGGCGAATATGGCGAAGTTTCGTAGCTCAGTTCGTTCAGCTTTTGCAGATAGTGCGACGTGCGGGCGAGCGTTGTAGTCTCAGCTTTCTAATGGTATATAACATTACAAGGTACAGAGCATACTTTATTGAGAAAGATGTATCCAAATAATAAACAATACAAAACGCTCATTTATTTCCGGACAACCTAATATAAGAGATTAACATTTTATCGGGTAAATTGTGGTTGGTTAACTGAAGTTTGTACGATAAGGTGCAAAAGGCTGAAAGTCTTGATTTAAACATATAAAGTAATGCTAAGACAAGAACTTTTTAATACAGTTGTATCAAAAATTTCTGCAGGACATTTCTTTAAACACTAAACTCTCAAATTTTCAGATTTGGAAAAACCGGAATATTAATTGTGTCTGTTTTTTAATAGTTCTTGTTGGTAATTCCTTGTGCTATCAATATCTTTTCTATACGGGAAAGATTTTCATGGAATTTAATGGTTATATTGTGCAAGGACCTGCAGCGGCGGCGGTATGTTTTCTCAATATTTAAGAAGAAATACTGAAATTTCATTTTTAGCAAACAGCTTTTGCGATTTCAACTGTTCCAGTGATGAGCTTTGTGTATCCGTTTGCGTCGCTTGGAATCAATATCGTGATCTTTTTCGCTTTGCTTCATTTGAGATGGAAACGAAAAAGGTATCGGATTCAGATTTTAAAAAATTAGACAAAAAAATGTTGGAATTTTTGGCAAAAGATGTACTTAGAAAAGGGAATCAGACCTTGACTGCTTTTTTTGATAAAAGATGGATTCAAAGAAAAGCTATCGTACCCCAGCTGCTTTTTATGTTGGGAAGGTGACCCGCTTTAACTTTATCATTGGGGATGATTTTGTTTCAGATTTGTTTGTTGTTTGGATTTTTTTCAGAATAGCAAAGGGTTTTCTGCATCTTCGTATTCGTAAATTCGTAAGCGAAGATTTGCTTTAATGATCTCATTCACAACAAAAACACTTCCTTTTACCATTCTAGAATTCATCTTTTAAAAATCGGTACTTTTCCATTATACTCCCACATCATCAATCCCACTATACTCCCACAGCATCAATCCCATTTTACCCCCACAGCATCAATCCCAATCACCCCCACGGCATCAATCCCACTATACTCCCACAGCATCAATCCCATTTTACCCCCACAGCATCAATCCCATTATACCCCCACAAATGGCAGGTTTTAAAAAAGCTTTTCTAACTACAATCCACAATTCATATCCTCTGTGGTGGGTAAAGAAAACATTAAACCGGCGGCGGTAGAAAATAAGAATAGAAAAATATTTGTTTCTTCTTTGGGTAAAAACAGCATCCGGATACATGCTAATTTTTGGCATGCTAATTTTTTTAAATCCACATTTAATGGTATAATGGGAGAGTACCTTTATTGGTTGAAAGTTAGAGAAAAATTGCGCAGACGAATTTCAGTCCTTGGTTCTAAGTTAGGGGATCGCCTAATGGGATTGATGGGATTGATGCTGTGGGACTGATGCTGTGGGATTGATGCTGTGGGATTGATGCTGTGTGGGTATAACGGGATTGATGCTGTGTGAGCATAATGGGAGAGTACCAAAAAATCGTTTCCAGTAAAAAGGCGATGGGGACAATCGAGTGGAATCTCTTCTTGATTTGTCTTTTCACTCTCATCATTCAATTCCTTCTGATGTTGTTTCTGGTATAGAAAAAGATTTTCCTTAACACGATGATCAGAAATAAACTGTCCTTTTTTTTCTAGGCTAATATTTCTGTTTTATATTTGTTTATATTTGTAAGCCAAAACGATGACCGTAAATGCTGTATTAGAAGGACATCGCCTTCGAAATCTTGACTTTAGATCCTCTTGTGTGGTTGTTATGAATAGATCTAAACCTAAAACCTACTAATATTTTATTGCAGTGAAATTTCCAGCGCTATTTTTGAAAAAATAGAAAAATAATTTTTTGAAATATGGATTTTTTTGGGTTTTTTCTTGGAGATTCAAAGGGGGTCGCGGTTAAGAAAATAATTTAACTTTTAAACGCGCTTTGTGTACCTTTCGGACAAAGGGACCATCGCTTTAAATAGTTTTTAACGAATTCTAAATTTTTGATTTTTTGACCAGATTCATGTGCTCCCCCTTACCTAATTTTTGGACCGGCCGATTTTGAGGGGTTGAAAAATCGAACCACATGTCATTCTAATACAGCATTTACGGTAATTTCTTTTATTTAGATGAAAATCCACATCATTTTCTGTATATGTTCAAGATTTCATGACTATAGCATTGATGGATAATTTTTTATGAACGCTCAAAAATGATTGGTCAAAAATTAGCCGGAATTCAAATTTAGAGTTTCTTTATCGATGATATTATAGAAAATATTGGCGAATTTAATGTTTTTTTTCAACTGAATCTACTTAAACAGAACAAAAGCTTAGCTTTGAAAAAAAAATGTAAAGAAAAAATTATTTTGTGGGGGTTTTTTCAAAAATTCCAAGTTTGAATTTCGGCTTGTTATTTTTTTGACCAATCATTTTTGAGCGTTCATAAAAAATTATCCATCAATGCTATAGTCATGAAATCTTGAACATATACAGAAAATGATGTGGATTTTCATTTAAATAAAAGAAATTACCATAAATGCTGTATTCGAATGACATGTGGTTCGATTTTTCAACCCCTCAAAATCGGCAAAAAGTAGGTAAGGGGGGACCACATGAATCTGGTCAAAAAATCAAAAATTTAGAATTCTTTAAAAACCATTTAAAACGATGGCCCTTTGTCCGAAAGGTACACCAAACACGTTTAAAAGTGAAACTATTTCCCCCGCGACCCCCTTTGAATCTCCAAGAAAAAAATCCAAAAATTCATATTTTTTTTCAAAAAATTATTTTTCTATTTTTTCAAAAATAGCGCTGGAAATTTCACTGCAATAAAATATTAGTAGGTTTTAGGTTTAGATCTATTCATAACAGCCCCACAAGAGGATCTAAAGTCAAGATTTGAATTTTTTTGACCAATCATTTTTGAATGTTCATAAAAAATTATCTATCAATGCTATAGTCATGAAATCTTGAACATATACAGAAAATGATGTGAATTTTCATTTAAAAAAAGGGAATTAATCGTTTTGGTCTACAAATAACAGAAATATGGCCCTAGAACGGATTATTAGGACGGGTTATTTCTGGTCACCCTGTATCCAGTTTAAGTCGATTAATTTAGAGATACGCGTATAAAATATTTGATCTATCAACGGTTGCATTCGGGGTAAGTAATTATCGAATACGTTTTACGGTTACGGTTACGGTATCGATTCTTTTTTTTTTTAGTTGAATCTTGTCTCCGATTTCTCAACGCTAAGTGAAACTTTCATCGGTTTGGCTTTAAATACGACAATGCGTGGGAAAATGATTGACATGCTGATCAAATCGACGAGCTTCAGGAAGATTTTCAAAGGATCGTCCACCCGACAAGAAACATCAATTCTAAAAGTCACTGCTTGGTGAAAAGATTGAATTTGTGCAGAAAAGTAGCTCTTTTCTGTGAAATCTTATTTGATGCTTTGATTTTGAATATCTCTGATTCTCTTGTCCTTCCTCTAAAGATCGTTTGTGTCATAAAGGGAACGGAGCCCAATTTGTATTGTTTTTCTTTGGCTTTGACACACTGAACCAAGGATTGATTCTATTTTATTGTATTTTCTCGCTAGATTAGTGTGCTAGACTGTGATGTGCTAGATGTGGAATGAATATCTAAATAATCATTGCTCCATCGGTACCCTCTCACGCACTGCACAGGGTTCATCTAGAATAAAGCTATTTAATTCCGTTTCTGACACTTGTTACCTCGTTTTGTAGCAAACATGAAACGACAGGAAAATCGATGAGTGGCAAAGCGGGTGTGGCGAATTTCCACTGGTCTGCAGTTAGTCGAAATTCAATACACAAATTAAAATTCAAAGTTGATGGATAAACTACCGTAATCAGCCACTAGACGATATTCAGTTGTCCGTTTGTCGTAGCTTGTGTACTTAAAAACCCATTATTTAAGCTTTGTTTTGAGTCAGTTGTGAGCTCCTTTTTCTATTCATCCTTTTTCACACGCAAGTGTTGAAGTAATTGTGATAGTGCAAGGTTGCTCCAGTTTGAGCGAAGTTTGCCTTTATTTGGAACCATATTGGAACCATATTGGAAGGAACCTTATTCGAACCATATTGGAACCATATTGGAACCATTACTATTTAATAAGGGAAAGTTTTGCTAAATTGTGCGTTTTCAAGACATCTATCACTGAACCACACCGCGAGACGCTCTCACAAGAAATTATGAAGATCAAAGTATAAACATATTTCTTACAGCGGGTGAGGTGCTGAAATTGCTTTCATATCAGAATTTCTATGCCAAGTACCAGGCAAGCAAAGCACCAAATGCAAAAGATTCTGATTCTAAAATTCATTGTTTCTCAAAAACTCAAAATATATATAATACTTTATTTTTAAGGCTCGTTTGATTGAGCGTTCCGCCCAAAACGAGACCTAAAAACATCTATTTCAGAAAGCTACCGTAGTCAAGTTAAACTAAACACAAAATCATATCTTTCAATGGGTTAAATCTTAAGTAGAGACTAGAGCAATAGAACAATTTCAAAAGGAACAATGAGATCTATTAAAATGGATTAAATCTAAAACTAGGCAACTATTTCATGTGATTTAGCTTCTATGCATTCATACAAAACGCAAGAATTTTCCAAACATTTTCCTAAAAATCTTTTCTGAACTGAATAAGTTTTTCCTGCACTTGATTGACTGCTAAACGCGTTTTCCTTTTGCTTTTTCCCTTTCGGCACTGGAAATCCCAGATCTCCACATGTTAAAACGCAATGATTTTTCTTGTAATTTAGCTGAAATTAGCATTTAAACGTCTGTTTTTTTTACTTATTTTAGACGTCTGTTCAACGCTTTAAAATCAATCTTAACGGCTAAATTACACTGAAAACTGTAGAAATACTCATCCCAAACATTTCCAAACATAAAAACAGAAAGCAAAAAGTGATTAGCCGCATAGGGGGCTCGAACCCCTGACATTCAGATTAAAAGTCTGACGCTCTACCAACTGAGCTAATGCGGCCATGCGTTGCGGCCGGGAAAAGGGGCACATGAGGAAAGGGGAAAGGGAAAGGGTGAAAGGCTGTCAACAAAATCTCTTTGTTCCAACTGCTTGTCAAAGATTTCATTTTCAAGAAAAAATCGTTGCAAGAAATGTTCTTAACTAAAACATTTGTTTAGAAAACTGTCTAGGGATTACGATATTTATCCACTTCACCTTTTCAGCAAGCCTTCAGCTTTTCAGCAAGCTCTAATGCACATTCTATGATCAACACTGGAAAATATTTCACAATAAATCGATTTTTTTTTCTTATTATAGTACAGGATTGTTCCAAATGCAATTTTTCCGGACCAGGCAAAGTCAAATGTCCTGCACACTACTGGCAAGACTGATCGACCTGGCCTCGAGCCTAGCTGAGTTCCTGACATTTCCTGACATTCCTGTCATTCCTGACAATCAAGGTAGTGTAAGACTTGAGTAAGTGGGGTTTTTGATTTGTATACACGAATATACCTAATTTGTACTTTATTCTAGTCGATTTCTCGTTTTATCACTCGACGGAGCTTATTTCCGATATACAACAAAACTGCCAATGTTTCCATTGTTGAGCTTTTTGCTCTTTGTAGGTTTGTAACTCTTTATAAGTTACGAACGTAAATACAGAATTGATATTCATTATTCTAATTTATTTTGTGATATTCATTAAGAGCTTTCAAATGATGTATACTATGCAAAAGAGATTTGTTTTTTTTACAAACATTAAATTTAATCTAAATTCCTTTAGGTAAGGAATTTTGATTAAAGGAAATGTTGCATCGATCTGAAGAGGTGAAAATCAGATAGTGACAAGTCTCGTCTGTATGGCGCATGCGGTAAGACATTCCATCCTAATTCCTCTAACTCCTTACTCCTCTTTGAAGAAGCTTTCTTTGTTCATACGTTCATACAAGAAGCTTTGTTCAAGTAGTTCATACGGTTGGTCTTTTCGATTATTTCCAAATGGCGGATGATTGTTGATTGACCACATTGGAAATGTTTGGCAAGCTCTCATGTTGTTTGCATTGGATCCGCTTCAATAAGTTGTTCCAATTCATGATCATCGATCACTGCCGAGCGATGCCCATGTGGTTCGTCTTCAAGTGATGCAATACCTTCTCGGAATAGGACAAACCAGAGTTGGCAGAATCTTTCGGGTATAAATTGTTCTCCAATATCAGAACAGAGAACACGATGTGATTTGGCAGCAGTTTTGCCCATTTTGACAGAAGAGTGTTATCGAGAAGTGTTATCGAAGTGTATCCACTTCTCGTTCATCATCAAGATACTCTCAACAATAGCTTCTTTTCGACTTGAGAAGCAAGATATGGCTGATCGAAACGCGTGCCCCGAGATTTTCGGTGCTCAATTGAAGTGGTAGCTATCGTCCATTACGATTGGTCTTTCCGATTATTTCCAAATGGTGGACCATTGTTGATTGATCACATTGGAGCTGTTTGGCAAGCTCTCGTGTTTTTTGCATTGGATCGGCTTCAATAAGTTGTTCCAATTCACTATTATCGATACCAGCTGAGCAATGCCCCTGTGGTTCGTTTTCGCAAGATTTAATATCTTTTCTGAATCGGGCAAACGAGAGCTGGCAGGTCTTTTGATCTTGTTCTCCAAAAGCAGAACAGAGAACATGATGTGATTCGGCAGCGTTTTTGGCCATCTTGAAATCGTAGAGAAAACGCGCGCACAATATACTTTTGATCCACCATGATCTAAAGCAAATATCAATTAAAAAGTGAAAGCTCTAACTTAAAAAAAGCGTAAAAATAAAGTAAATCTCCAAGGACACAAATATACAAAAGAAAATCAAATAAGATTTCCAGATTAAAAAAAATAGAACATTTTATATCGAGTGAAATTTCTTTTGCATCAACTTAGTAACACGCGATGTACTCTCTTGATTTTCTTCTTTTAATTCATCAATAAGCATTTGTTTCAAAATTTTGCAGTACCCTGTACAACAGACCTGGTGAAGGCAGATCTAGCTTCTGGTCGGCTTTGGACTAGCTGCCTACAAGTCGGTCTAAACAATCCAGCATTAGAGTTTCAAAGGCCAATTCAGTTGGAGACATTGCTTACAAAATTTCAGGCAAGTCATCATCCTCCTCAACGAGTACTCCAAAAAAGAAAATCTCTTCGAGTTCATCAAGTTCATCAAACGGTGATCATCCGGGTCGACGTGTACCCCCACCATTGCCGACAAGGGAAAGCCAACAAAATGAGATAATGAGTACGTTTTAAATCCTACCTACAAGGGAGTTTGACCTTGTTGAAGCCAAACTTGTGTCTTGTAGAATGCAATACTATTAACGAATCATATTACCGATGTATCAATTTCAAATACGCTCCAAGTGCTTCCATGTTGTCTATTACAATGCCTCTCGACACTAGGAAGAATTATTAATCTCTCAAAAAAAAACTCTTTGAAAGGATTCCTTTTTTTGATAACTTCTTCCTACGAAAACTCTTCTTCCTACTTCTTCCTACCAGGGGAAAGATCGCCTCAAACCGAGATGAACATCACCGTCAGTCTTCATCCTTCTTCGAGGAATCGATGAGTCTGATAAAGAAACTTATTTTGAATGTCTAAAGAATACAGAAAGAGTCAATAAATTTATTTTACTTTTCCAATGTTGACAGTCTGTCCAATGACAGTTCAATGTGGACAGTCTGTCCAATGACAGTCCAATGTTAACACTCCAATGCAACTACAGAATCAAATACTCTTTGAAAAACATTTCCGGGATAAAAAGCCTAATCTTTTCCTCCGAAATTTAGTAAAAATATGTCCGTAATCAAATAAAATAAAAACTCAATCAAATAACAAAACTTTCTCCCCAAAAATTCATGTATTTTGATGAATGGCCTCTTGGAGTAATGAAATTTGTCGCGGTTAAAGCGCCGATCGCTAAATGAGCAACTCAATCAGACAATTTTTCTATCATTCGGTCATTCGTCACATCTAGTTTTCATTCAATGTTTGCATCGATTCAAGAAACGAACTTTTGGCTTAAATGGCAAGATCTCATCTGGGCCTTGTCGGTCACTTTCGGTTTAATTGGTCAGTTTTTGAATTTCAAATTTTCAAATCAGCTTAAAATTGCCATTCATTTCAACATCTTTGCTTTGCCTAAGTATTCAAAAACTTAACAATTTCAGGTTTCTACATCTTGTTACACATACTCGATGATCAGTATTGGACGCTAGTCCACTATGACTACACTTATGATGTAGACTACTCAACAAGCAACAGCTCAACGAACGCTACAAATGACGTTTCATATTTAAACGCGAACGACACGGATTACAGTCTTCTCAACGATTCGAGCTATGACAATTACACATACATTTATCCAATGACTTTTTCTGATTACGTTGAGTATTATATGCCAATGGTGGTATCAGCGGTGAGTCAAATATATTCGAAAATAAATAACCAAACAAATTTTGTAAGTTTAACAAATGAAACCCAGCTAATAGAATAGTCTTCTAATAGCTAATAGCTAATAGAAAAACCCAGCTAATAGAATAGTAGGAGCTTCTTTCAGGTGATTGCTTTGAGCCTCGTCACAACACCACTAGCTGCTTACTTCTCGGCAACAAATGATCGACTATCGTGGCCGATTCGGTGAGCACTGAATGTCAGAGTTGTGGATAATTGTGAATTTCAAACTTTTGAAATGTACGGGGATTCCAACGAGGAAATGATCCAAACTGGGGCTGATGTTTTAGGATAAGCTCGGACTGCAAACATCAGTTGGATATGGGTATTCCAAATATCTATTTAGATTTGCCCAAATTAAAATCCTGCTGAGAGAAATGCATTTAAAGTTTTGACCATTTTCGAAAAACCGTCCCCTAGCCAATAAGAACGCTCCACATGGGGGCGGACAGAGACCTGTGGTGGCGTAGAGGGTAGTGCGTCCGACTACAGAACTCGTAGAGGGTAGTGCGTCCGACTACAGAACTCGTAGAGGGTAGTGCGTCCGACTACAGAACTCGTAGAGGGTAGTGCGTCCGACTACAGAACTCGTAGAGGGTAGCGCGTCCGACTACAGAACTCGACTACGGAGCCGTTTCTTGCGGCGGGTTCGAGTCCCGCCACCGCCAAACTTTTTGCTCTTTTTGAAAAACAGACAGTATTTTTAAACAAACAGACAGTAAACAGAAATGTTTACGGCTATTATTAGGTTTGCAACTTAATAATGACGCGTTTATGTAACAAATCATTTATTTCAAAAAAACACAAAAGAAGAGCTTTCAATTCGAAAGGTATTCTCCATTAGTATCTATGACTTCTTCCCATCTTCTGCGCAAATCCCGGATCCCATCCTCGAAGAACTTGGGAGTTTTTGAGGCGAAGTAGTCATTCACTGCTTTTATGACCTGAGCATGATCATCGAACTTTTCTCCCTCCAAAAAGTGCTTCAGTGACCGAAACAAAAAGTAATCTGAAGGAGCCAGATCAGGTGAATAAGACGCGTGGGGCAAAACTTTCCAGACAAGTTCCTCGATTTTCTTATAAGTGATCTTTGCAGTGTGAGGTTTTGCGTTGTCGTGTAAAAATCTGACTCTCTCCGGTTTGAGCCCCAATTTCTTCAAAGACTCGTTAACTCTCATTAATTGCTTCGAATAAAGATCAGCATCGACGGTTTGGCCAGGTTTCAGCACTTCACAATGCACCAATCCCTTGAAGTTCCACCAGCAACTGAGCATTATCTTCTTCCCATGGATATCAGGTTTGGGAGTGGTTTGAGGGGTCTGCCCAGCAGATAGCCATTGATTTTTGCGTTTAACTTTCTCGTAGTTGATCCACGTTTCGTCAGAAGTCAAAACCTTGTGAAAAAAGTCGTTTGATTTACATTTTTGTAGCAAAATTGAGGCGACATTTTGTTGCTTTGGGCCAGTTCGTGAGGAACCCATTTTCCAACTCGATTTTTTTCCCAAGTTTGTGTAAATAGTTTTTGATTGTCGTATGGGATACTTCAAATATTTCTGCCAACTCACGAACGGTGAGTGTTGGGTAATCTTCAATTAAGGCGAGCAAGTCATCGTCGACCACTTCTGGAGGATGTCCTTAGTGTGGCTCGTCCACGAGGCTTTCATCGCCGCCTTGGAATCTTTGAAACCATCGTTGACATTGTCGAATGTTTATACTTTCCTCCCCAAAAACAGTGATGATCGTGCGATGAGATTCAGCTGGTGATTTTCCTTGTTTAAAATCGTAGAACAATGCAGCTCAAATACGGAATTTTTTGTCCTCCATTTTTTGCCAAAAAGCAAATGATGAAATTTGGAGCACTAAATGTTATTTATGTAGACATCTTTTACTTTGTATATATGCAAAAAAGAGGGAAGAAACGGCGCTTGAAATTACAAAAAACATGTTAAGTAGTGACGCGTCATTATTAAGTTGCCAACCTAATACAATGTTGATCGACACTAGGAAGAATTATTAATCTTTCAAAAAAGCTCTTTGAAAGGATTCCTTTGGCATAAACGATATAATCTTTTTAAAATTGGATTTTGTTTCTTGGTGACTTTGCAAGTTGTACACCTTCAAGCCTTTTGCATAGGACATACCGTAAAGACTCTAATAGAGCGCCTCGTACAGTCGCGTAGCCTAACTTCTTTTTAGAAACCATTTCTCAGCCTCTAGACTCCACCAGCTACACTTTGGGTACCAAAAAATAGATTTCAAGGGCTATCATTTGACATCCAAGCGCACACTGTAGCATAAAACGGCGCGGAGGATGGGATGTTCAAAGTTAGACTACGCGACTGTACGCCCGTCATTATGGAGATGACGTTCTATTACAGTATTGGTAAATTAATGGTGAATTAAAGGCATAATTTGTGCCCTATTGATTTTCTATCACACAGTTGTCTGCCTGTTGGTCAAAGAATCTTCAAAAATGCATGTTTAGACTTCTGGCCACCGCCGAGAACATCAACAAGTTCATCTACGCTCTCAGCTCGTGCTTAAACGACATGTGTTCCTACTTTGATTTGTAAGGAATATCAGGAAAACAAAACACAACACTTTAGATGTTCCGAGGATCTGTGTTGGAGTTTCTACAAGTTGTCCTGGATTCTCACCGACATGTATTCTCTGTGCGACGTCGCCCAATATTGTCAGTGTTTAATTTCATTAAGGTAAACACTTTTTTACTACCTATAGACTACTTGTACCATCTAGAGTGTTCTAGAGGCCCGGTTTCCCCGTTTGTGTAGGTTCCTGGTAGAAATGTGCCATCGGGTTGCATTCTAGCAAAGAAAACCCTCATTTTCCAGCCGATTCCTCGTTTTGTCCCTCGATGGAGCCTATTTCCGATATACAACGAAACTGCCAATCATTCAACTCTTGATTCCCTATGCTTTACGAGTAGCCTTTGCCCAGATTGAGATTGCTCTTTGTGACTATTCTTTTCAACAAATTGTGCATGAGTTCCTCATCACAATGCCTTATTTCTTGACATGTGGACTCGACTTTGTAACGGATCGAAAAGTGAAAACGGTACTTTATCCTTGAAAATCCACAACCAATCAATTTCAGCTAAAGAAAAATGGCCGAGTGTCTCGAGTTGAATGTCTATTGATGCTACAGGTGTCTATTGATGTCTACTGATGTCTATTGATGTCTATTGATATTTATTGATGTCTATTGATGTCTATTGATGTCTATTGATGTCTATTGGTGTCTATTGGTGTCTATTGATGTCTATTGACGTCTATTGATGTCTATTAGTGTCTATTAATGTCTATTGATGTCTATTGATGTCTATTGGTGTCTATTGATGTCTATTGACGTCTATTGATGTCTATTGGTGTCTATTGATGTCTATTGATGTCTATTGATGTCTATTGATGTCTATTGATGCTAAAATTTCATGGTCAATGAACTGTTTTAGATGGTAACCAACTCTTGTATGACGGTGATCAATTTTATCATTTATTACATGTGTTCTTTTGTCACGTATTTATTTTTTGGATATGATGTATGGATTGTCTTTTCAAAACTGCGAACTCTTATCCAAGTTTTGCTCTTCAACTTGGTTTCAAGGTAAGCATTAAAGAGCATCGTTAGAACAAGAAGAATCTGATTAAAATCCATTACAAATTAAAGACAAATGACAAAATGACAAATGAAAAAGCATCATAAACTCCAATTCCAGTTTGATCAGTGTTCTGTTTCTCCGAAAACCGAAAGATCGAGAACCAAGAAGTGGAGTAGCTGTCACTGTAACCAGTGTTGCACCGACAGCAAAAAGGACAACGATGACTAGAGTGGAGTAGAGAACTGCTAAATTCTATTTTGTTAAGAGAAATAAATTATTGACGCAATAAAGACAAAGATTCTGTTCCTCTCGTACAACAATCAGCTTTAAAAAACGATTGTGAGCCATTTGATACGCGTCTTCCCTCTTTGCCATTAGTAATCCAACTTTAAGCTCAAATATCTTGGTCCAGGGCTGTTCAATTTAAATAGTTTATGTAACAATCGACAGAGAAAGACTTGGCGCATCCAATGATATCAAGAATATTTAAATTGAACAGCCCAACACCAAGATATTTGAGCTCAAAGTTAGATTGCCGATGGCAAAAGGGGGCGGGGTTTTGGGACCTTTTATACGCGCCTTGCCCCCTTTGCCATTGAAGCATCGATTAAATCCGTTATAGTAATAGCATTCCGAATAGCACGGATCTCCGTTGCAGAAAATGAGGTTCTATTATTAAGGATCAAAACCCAATTTGTCAGGAAAACTAATACCAAATCAGGCAAAAGTAATTCTGAGTTGGCAAATCGTTTCAGGCTTTGTTGATTCACTTCCTCGGTTGCTTTTCCAACCAGGCTCATGAGTTTTGGATAGGACTCACCACTGAATGTGTTGAATCATTGGATTAACATTACTGGGAAGAGCTAAGCAAGGAAGGTCATTGTTGAAGCCCATATTTGATCCCCCGGAGAAATAACAGGAAAAGGTAAACTATCTGGATTCTTTTTTTGACAATTTATCATAAAGCCAAGGTGGATCATTGTGAATCATAAAGAGGGAAAACGAAAAAATAAAACTAACCATGTAAAAAATGAGATCAAAATTTGGAAATTTAAAAAGGCAAATTTGGATTATGCACCAATGTTTAACATCGGAAAAATATTGAGCGCAATCAATATTTACAGCGTTTAAGAACAATGCCACTAGATTGGCAACAGTTGAGCGAGAACTTTAACATTGAAAAATTAGTAATTACGAAAAAAACAATGCACAAACTTTGTTCCATAATTAACAAATGATTGCAACGGTCGTCTCGAGCTTTCCATTTTTGAAAACCGTCTTGAATCGCTCGGGAATCGGTAGCTCGATAAAATCACCATCAGGATCTTCGGGCACAAACACGTTCATTTCCGAGCTCTTTGGAATGATAATTTCCGCTTCATAGGAAACCTCAGACAAGTAGATTTGGATTTTTTTGGTTTTTTGGATTGACACAGTCGGTAGTTCTCCAAAAGTCTGTAGCTGAATCTTTTGACAGTTGATCGTCTCAACTTGCGCCATGACTCCGTCAAAAGCGAGGGCCGTCTTCTTGTTCCAGCGTCACAGAGTTGCACTTTCCATTGATTCAAACGGTGCATCCTTCACATTTAAAGATGTAGACGGTTTGTTTCTTGTCGGTGACATTCACGGTGATGTTCGGGTCACTTTCGAAGTACTCCACATTCCATTGTCTTCCATCTGCGAACCTCATCATCTGCAAACACAAACTTGGGTAATTAAACCGTAGTTAATTTTTAATTAAATCAATTCAATCAATTAAATCAATTCAATCAAAGTCAATTCAATTCGCAGTCAATTTTGTGAATACATTAAATATGTTTTTGTTTTTAAATCTTGATTATCTTTGATAGCATTTTTATTTTATGAAGAAAAGTTGAAGTTTACTTTTTGGATAAATTACCTCATGCATTTCAAACATTTAAAACTGTTTATTGAACGTATTTCAGAGAAAATTTTGACCTTGATCGTGATTCCAAAAACGATGACTAGCCGTTTCCAAGAGCGTTCAAAAATTCCTTTTTCTTGTATTTTTTGCGAAAGAGAATGGAGAAAGAGGTGTTTTTTCAAACATTGCGCAACAGGTGGAAAATTTTTGCTATTACATTCACTTATTTAAGAAGCAGTTAAATGGAGTAAAGTCTATTTTCTTAAAAATATTAAACAACTTGATTTTTTCTATTTCCTAAAGCAGAGAAAAATGCCTGCAATGACGCCAAGGGTCGCCGAGTTTGAAAAGGTATTTTAAGAAGTATTCGTTCCTAGGTGTAAACGGATATGGACTAGAATTTGGGTTAAGTTAAAGAGAGTGGATCCCTTTTGATATCCTGCCATCTCTAACACCCCGACAAGCCGACTCAACTCCTCCAACGTATTAGAGGGGAGTCCCTGTGAAATGACTGACCTGAACTGCAGTTGCATAGACCCGGAAGATATGTATCTTTATTTACCGTAGTACGATAAGACGAATAGATTACAAATGAGTGAAAGGGGAAGGGGGAACTCCAAGTGAGAGCCTCACTTGTCCTTCTAGGCAATCCCAAGAACTCTAGGCAATCACTCCTAGGCAATCCCAAGAACTCTAGGCAATTACTCCTAGGCAATCCAAAGGACTCTAGGCAATCACTCCTAGGCAATCCCATGGACTCTAGGCAAGCACTCCTAGGCAATCCCAAGAACTCTAGGCAATCCCTCCTAGACAATCCCCTTCTCGGTGATGAATGGGATAAGCACAGGGAGAACCCATTTACATGAGAATAGACAAATCATTCAATAATAATAATAGTAACTAAAATATCAGTTTGGCTTGGAGCTGACAGAAGGAATATTATTTGTAAAATGAGCATTCTATTCAAAATTGATTATCCTTTTTTAAGTTTTTTTGGTTATTCAGCTTTATGAAAACATTTATTTTAAGCATTTATTCAGGTTGAAAGAAGAACAGCTTATGAATTGGTGGAGATCGGAGCGAATCTCTTTCACGAGGCTTTCCAAGATGATTTCGAGGGAGTGTTGCGAAGATCGAAACAAGCTGGTATTCTTAAAAACATAAAAACAATGCATCTAACAATCATCTAAAGTTCTAGATTATGTTCTTTACACATTCGTCGGTATTTACGTACAGTCGCCTAGTCGTTAACCATTTTACTAATAATTTAGTGTAAATTCACAAATAAACTAAACTATTAGAGTTGTCCATAAGTTTTTGCGGTTCTCAAATTTGTGATTTCTTAAAAATCAGCCAACAGTTTCATCTGAGATTTCTACTGAATAATCTATAAGTCTATGCTAACTAGTAGAAAAAATTTGATAACGATTGCTTGGCTCAATCAAGAGAATGAGCCTCTTGATGATGTGTGTGTTTCACTCTTTGTGGACTCGCCCAACTTTATAGAAGTACTAATGGAAAACAGGATCCATGTCCATAAGAAATCACAAATTTAAAAATCTCAAGAACTTATGGAAAACCCTAATATTAGGTTGGCAGGAAAGATCATAGAAAGTCTATGCTAACTAGTGGACAAAATTTGATAACGATTGCTTGGCTCAATCAAGAGAATGAGCCTCTAACGTTGTTTTGTGTGTTTCACTCTTTGTGGACTATAGAAATAGCTCTATAGAAACTCTAATGAAAAACAGGATCCTATACTAAAACGACAAGAATAGAAGAGATTTAAAGAAAGAAAGCACACAGACGCCAGCCAACAGTAAAACGCTCTTGTCTTAACTCCAGAGTATATTTTTGGATCAAGACCCTTAGTCTTTTGTACTTTATTTTACAAAATTCGTTTAATCAACCACAATTTATTTGTTATCTGTATTTGACTCTAACCCAAAAAGCTACTTGGACAAATCCAATTACCGTATTCTCTCTAATAGTAGTGCACCCAAAGCTTTGCCTAAATTGCTTGAAATTTCGAGAACCGCTTATCAGAACCTATCGATGTGGGGTCGGAAAATGTAGCTGACGATGAGATCTAATGGGGGATTAGAGTGTTGAGCTTCTGAGAAAGCTTGGGAACTGTAAAAATCATCCTCAACTCGGCTCGGTCGGAGAGAGGGGGAGAGGGCATTACAATTAGAGAAAATACAGAATACCGCATTCTCTCTAATAGTAGTGCACCCAGAGCTTAAATTGATCGAAATCTCGAAAACCGCTTATCAGAACCTATGAGTTGAAAGTTGAAAAATGTATTGTCTTTCTAGCTTCTAGTCTTAAAAACTTTTATATTCATAATTCTTGCTTGCTTTCCAAAGCATTCGTGTTGAAATTGTTAATAATTTTCGCTCAGGTATCACCAAAATGATGCTCACCGCTTGCTGTGAGAAGACGAGTCGAGAAGTGTGCGAGATGGCTGAACGAGAGCCCGGATTTCTATATTTCACTACAGGTACCGTAATCTAAAAAGAAGAAACTATCATTTTTCAGGATTCCACCCGTATTACGTTAACAATTTTCGGGGAACTGCTTCAATTGAAACTTTTCGCGAATACGCAAGTCATCCGCAATGTGTTGCAATTGGAGAGTGTGGTGAGGACGACAATTTAATGTTAAAAGTTAATTTAATGTTCGGTTTAGGTTTGGATTATAGCTCTATGAATGAGAGTCCGAGAGATGTTCAGTTTGAGGTTTGCAAATCTATTGCAAATCTATTGCAAATCTATTGCAAATCTATTGCAAATCTATTGCAAATCTATTGCAGATCTATTGCAAATCAATTGCAAACCAATTTTTCCCTTTTTTAGGCTTTTCGACAGCAACTTGAGCTGGCAGTGGAGTTGAGAAAACCGCTGTTTCTTCATGAAAGAGATGCGTTCGAGGATTTTGTGAGTTTTTTTAGGATACTTCAAGATAATTTGCTAGTTTAATAGCATTTGATAGCAAATAGCCAATAGCAAATAGCAAATAGCAAATAATTTCTAAAGCCTCTTAAAGAGTTCTTTAAGATTTCAGAAGAGATTGAAGAGTTAAAAGGTTACAAAAGTTACAAAATCTATTTGAAGTTTATCTACAAAATCTACACAGTTACAAAATCTGTTTTTAATCTGTTCTATTGGCATTGTAAATATTAAACATTTAACGCAATCCAGTTCGGCTTTGGTTCGGTTTAGTTCGGCTTACTTGACTGAATAAACTGGACTGACAGGACTGACAGGACTGACAGGACTGACAGGACTGACAGGACTGACAGGACTGACAGGACTGACAGGACTGACATGACTGACAGGACTGACAGAACTGACAGGACTGACAGGACTGACAGGACTGACAGGACTGACAGGACTGACAGGACTGACAGGACTGACAGGACTGACAGGACTGACAGGACTGACAGGACTGACAGGACTGACAGGACTGACAGGACTGACAGGACTGACAGGACTGACAGGACTGACAGGACTGACAGGACTGACAGGACTGACAGGACTGACAGGACTGACAGGACTGACAGGACTGACAGGACTGACAGGACTGACAGGACTGACAGGACTGACAGGACTGACAGGACTGACAGGACTGACAGGACTGACAGGACTGACAGGACTGACAGGACTGACAGGACTGACAGGACTGACAGGACTGACAGGACTGACAGGACTGACAGGACTGACAGGACTGACAGGACTGACAGGACTGACAGGACTGACAGGACTGACAGGACTGACAGGACTGACAGGACTGACAGGACTGACAGGACTGACAGGACTGACAGGACTGACAGGACTAGAGTGTGCTTCTTGTTGACAGACAATTTGTCAGACAAATTTGCATTGACAACTTTTTGTCAGACAATTGTTCCGACAAACTTCCGACAATGCGTTTTCTAAAAGGTGCGCTTTTAAAGCAAAGCTATAAAGCAAAGCAAAGCTATAAAACAAAACAAAGCTATAAAGCAAAGCAAAGCTATAAAAAGCCGGGCGAAAAAATGTTCTATTTGAAATGTTTTCTTGAATTTTACACAGCATTTTAAAATAGTTTGCAATTGCTTTTCTGGGTCATAGTGTTGTGCTCGAGTGCTCGAGTCTTTTTGCTGCTCACATCTACATACTTTGACATAAAATCCCAGGCTAGTGAGGGCAGTGAGGGCATTTTAGGTCTACGCGAAGGAGTAGCGAAACTCTAAAAATGATTTATAAGCGTAAAGGCAACTATTACTAGAATTTACCCTATCACTGGGAGAAGCATCCATTTTTCTCTCACAATCACACGATTTTCGACGCGCTACTAATAGGAAATAGGAATAATAGGAATAGGATTTCTACGCGCTACTCTAAATAATAGGAATTACCAATTTAACCTGTTAAAAGAGAGAAAAAAAGCGCAAAATTTTCATGGACATTTGCATTTTAAAAAGTTTGCTTATGCAAATCATAGGGCTACGGTAGCTTATATTTAGCGCGCGCTTTTTAGAAAGCTGTCTGCCTGAGCGCTGTCTGCAAGGAGCACACTCTAATTACTATTCAAAAAAGCATCAAACAACTTGGTTTTTCTCAGTTTATAATTTGGGTATTTATAAGTGTTTCATCCATGATCGGATAGTCATTATTAAAGTAATTCTTTATGTTCAAAATCTGGTCACAAGAAGCCACGTCCCAGTTTTAGAGTTTCTCAAGTTTTGGAGAATTAAAGTTCTATAGAATTGCTAATTTTGAGTTTCTAAAGAAATTATGGAAGTAAAGTGTCGAAAATGAGCTTTAATTCTACCGTTATTTTACAGTAAATTCTATCCAAAAAAAGGTCTTCTGGAGAATGGTTAACTCTAGACTAGGAGCTACGCACTAGAGAAAAAGTGCCCGTAATTCTTGAGCATTCTTGAACACCCTGTAATACTTTACTCATTGATCTTTGTATTGAAATGTGTACGGTAATGTAGCATTTATTTAAGCATTAAATTTCTCAGTTAAAACTACTTTAGGCCCGGCTGAATCAATTGACACAGCTTCATAGGGTCACGGTAGCTTAGATCTGGTGTTCGCTTTTTAGAAAACGCATTGTCTGCAAGGAACACACTCTAGACAGGACTGAATTTCAACACATAAGCTGATTTAACTAACTAGAAGCCAAGAAAGTGAGCTGTGAGTGAGCTGAATGGTCGAGTGTGTACTAGACATGAGAAAATTCCAATTCGAACCTAATTCCACCTTCGTTTTCTTACAAGAGAACGTTCCAAAGAGGATGTGAGGCTTTTAAACGGCGATGAAATGCAAACTGATCTCCATAAATATTGCAAACTGATCTTCATCTCCACTCTGTATTCAGGTCTCAATTCTTTCAAAATTCGAGGATCAACTTCCACCAGCTGTTGTTCATTGTTTCACAGGGACTGCAGAGGAGGCGGCAACCTATCTCGATATGGGTTTCTATATAGGAGTTACAGGTGGGATTGAAGTTCAAAAAGATTACCAACAGTTCAAAGATTACCAACAGTTCAAAGATTACCAACAGTTCAAAGATTACCAACAGTTCAAAGATTACCAACATTTCAAAGATTACCAACAGTTCAAAGATTACCAACAAATAAATGCATAAAACTTTCGTCACCGCCAACTTTTAGGCTTTGTTGCCAACAATAAACTGGGTAAAACAGTGCGGGACTTGCTGGCAAGTGAGGAGATTCCCTTGGAGAGGCTAATGATCGAGACTGACGCACCATATCTGTAAGTCTCTTGAAAAATTAATAATAAACTTATCGATATATCAATTAAAATTCTGATATGCTAATTTGATCTTAATTGATTTGATTAACTACTAGATTTGATTAACTTTAGATATCCAAGAGTGAACGATCGAAAATTCAAGCACATCAATTTTTCCAAGGAGGCCCTCGACTTGCATAAGGTAACATGCTTCGCTGAATTTGAAGATTTTCTTAAATTTTTTATTTTAAATGCAGTGTGAGTTATCTTATAGTTTATTATTTAATTTTCATAAGATTTTCCGTTTTTAGTATTCAAGCCATGGTCGTACCGAACCTTGCTCATTAGCGGTCATTTGTGAGCTCATTGCTGGGTTGATGCAAAGAGATCCGATAGAGGTAAGGAAAAGGAACAAAATATTGCTACAGTATTCACTAAATAGTTTCAGTATTCACTAATATTTTACAGTAAGATTTATCTAAAAACTATCCGTTAACGCAGCTATAGATCACCAAAAAGTCATCTCGATTCAAGGGTTAAGCTTTCAAGTAGTGAATATTTTAAAATCTATTTCTAGGTTGCTCAAATAACAACAGAGAATGCAAAAAAAGTCTATGGATTGATGTGAATGGAATGGATGAATGGAATTGATGAATTCGAAGGACAAAACCTTGGATCCTTGCTCAAACAAAGCCTTGGACTCAAACAAAGCCTTGGACTCAAGCAAAACCTTAAATCCTTGTCCAAGCGGCTCTCAAAAGACACAGATTGCTATTTTGAGCAAATGACATGATTAGAACTCTTTGTAAAAATGATTTTCGAATAAATTTCTGGTTTTTTCTTTACCATGCAGGCTTACTGGCTGTTTCAAACACTCTTGTCCAGCTGCTTCAAGGGCTTAAACGCTCTGGAAACACTCTTTTTGATTTTCACTACCGTATTCTCTCAAATACGTACATTAATGTGCATTAACTTTTTACATTCGAGCCTTTATTCGAGAGAATACGATAACCAGTAGCAATCTTTTTCCGGTTTTCTCCTATTTTCCCGGGCTGACTTCAAGATCAGTGAATTGAAAAGACTTTAAAAATAACTTTTCTTGAAAATAAAATAGTTTGTATAATAAAAAAATCGAATCCGGGTCACTTACACCTACGAATTTGTCAAGTTATCAAAATGGAATAAGATCGAAAGAGATTAGATAATATTATAGACTTTACAGCAGCACTAGCACCGGTCAGGATTGTTTAAAAGGATTGTTTAAAAGGATTGTTTAAAAGGATTGTTTAAAAGGATTGTTTAAAAGGATTGTTTAAAAGTAAATTCTTAGACTAGAAGACAAAACAGAAGACAAGTCCTAGCCTGGCTTCTGGCTTTCCCTGGTCTTTGCCTGATTTTCTTTTTTTGATTTTGATTCTCGATAAAAATTGAGTGGATTGATGAAATTTTCTTTTATTTCTGCGCCTTTAAGTAACTTTTATTGGTCACTTTTTCTTTCATTAACCATCAGTAGAGAGTCTTCCTTGGCATTGAGCGATTTGCCTCATCTGATCGGTGACTCTGAAAGTTTTACTTGCTTTTGTTTGATTCTTTTCCTCACCTAAACATTGGCCCATGTCCCGGCACGATGTAATCAGAGGCACAGATCACTCGATTTCGATTCATTTTGGCTAAATGTGGCTGACTTGTTGGGGGCTTTTGGTATTCTGTGAGAGCTTGTGAGAGCTTGTGAGAGCTTCTCTTACCTATCACCGGTTCCTGAGCAAAAGACATGGACAAAGTCGAGTTTAACACGTCTTGATCGCTGAGAATGAGATCACCTGAAAAGCATCGAATGACGATCTAATAGAGTTGATTCCGGTAGAGTTGATCCAACAAGCCAAAAGCTTTTTCTTGCTTTGGTTTAACCAGTTTTAGCTTTGGTGCTTTGGTTTAACTAGATACTTCAAAAATTTTGATCTAAGAACAGCCTCTATAGAAAGCTTTAGAATTGTGGGAAAATCAAAAACTGACCAACAACAGCCACTGTTCCGCAACAAACTGTATTGTGAGCAATGAGAGAAACATCTTGCGCTGTGTGCCCTGGCGTGTTCCAAAGTTCGATATTCGGTGTCAAATTATAGGCGTCTTTCTGAAAGAAATTAAAAGGTTTGATTGCAGTTTCATTTCTAACTTTAGACTTTAAAGTAAAAATTTTTGGCACCAGTATGTGAGCTCTGTGAGCTGTCTGTGAGCTGTCTGTGAGCTGAGCTCATCTGTCAATAGAGGAAAGGTTGATCGGTTTCTTTTCTGTTTATAATTCCTTTCTCACTCACATCTTGTCGCAAAGGGGTTGTTGTAAAAGCCGATCCGGCAATCTCGAATCCACCCATTAGATTCTTGGCATTTGTGAAAAGATGCCCTTGTCCGAAATGATCGGGATGACCATGTGTGGTGATCAAGTAATTGATTTGTGATGGCTGAATGCCTCGACTTTGGAGACCTGAAAAGTGGACTTGGAACAGGGTTAGCAAAAAAAAGCCAAAAGCCAAAAGCCAAGACTAGTCTAACCAAGTCTAGTCTAACCAAGTCTAGTCTAACCAAGTCTAGTCTAGCCAAGTCTAGTGTAGCCAAGTCTAGTGTAGCCAAGTCTAGTCTAGCCAAGTCTAATGTAGCCAAGTCTAGTCTAACCAGGTCTAGTCAAGCAATGGCTTTCAAGCTTGTTCTAGAATTTCTTTTAGAATCTTACCATTGGATTTGCTGTTTGCCAACCCTTTTGAGTGCTCGGATTTTAAAAAAAATGCAACCAAGACTGTCTTGTGTTTTTTAATTCTAGTAAAACCAAAAAGTACTTGAACTTTTAACGAGTCAAATCTGCAAAAGTGATACTTTACCTTGCATCATAACATTCAAATTCTTGGTGTCTCCAGAATTTGGCGTATCAACAATGAACAATTGGCCATTGTCAGTAATAATCGAGCTAGAGCCAACAAAATCAAAACCCTAGAGAAAAAGATTCGATTAAGAGGTAGAATCGCTTACATTTGCGATCGGCATCAGACTCCCAACAATCAATTGGCTCACATTTGTGCCCCTTTGATTGTTTTGATTGTTTTGATTGTTTTGCGGGTTGTAGAACTGAAAGAAAGGAAAGAGTTGGATATTTACAAGGGAACCACATATACTTACGGATGTTAACTGTTATATATCTGAACCTGAAATAGATTGAGAAGTGAAATTTTAAGGTAAGAAGATGAACTTTCAAGTTCTTTTTTTTGCCATTTGTCTATTTTTTTTGCCTTTTGTCTTTATCTTTTGTACAGGTTTGTCTAGGATTACGGGGCTAAAGAACTTGAGGATTTAAAGACCACCTTACATTAAAATGACATCAAAACAGCAAAAATCAATTTTAATACAATAATTTAGCATAAAAATTTACTTTTCTTTTCAAAAAGATCTCTTTTGGCGGCAAATACAGGCTTGGAGGCGTTTTGGGAACGTGTCCACGGTGGCGTGATAGAGTGTGTCCATGTAGAGTGTGTCCAGCTTGTTCCAAGCTTTCTGAAGGGTTTGCTTCAAAGAATTAACTGTTGGATGGGGTTTCGAGCTTGCTTTTGCGTCCAATACACTCCATACAGAATAATCGAGAGGATTGAGGTCTCGGCTTGATAATGGCCACTGGTTAAAATTGATAAAATCGGCGAAAATTCTGCTTGCACTGCTAGAACGATGTGAGTTTTGTGTGCGGATGTCCTTTTGGCTTTTGGAAAACTTATAAGCTTTCATTCCAAGGCGATTTTTGACAATACGTCCCATAGAAGTTCGAGAAATTGTGGCGAGAAGGCAGACGCGTCCGGTCGTTCCCAAAATCGGTGGCGTGAAGGTAGAGTGTGTCCAGCTTGTTCCAAGCTTTCTGAAGGGCTTTCTTCAAAGAATCGACTGTTGAATGGGGTTTCGAGCTTGCTTTTGCGTCCAATACACTCCAGGATTGAGGTCTCGGCTTGATGGTGGCCACTGGTTAAAATTGATAAAATCGGGGAAATTCTGCTTGCACCAATATTGAACGATGCGAGTTTGTATATGTCTTTTGTACTAATATACCTTTTCGCTTTTGAAAAACTTTCATTCTTTGCCATCCTGGCCTGCGAACAAGTCGCTTTCTGATCTCAAACCTTCTTGATATTAGCCTTAGTGACAATGACAATAAAATGGGTGTTTGTCGAGGCGGTCGTCAATCTGTGTGCATCTTTAGTGAGTCGAACTGGGGCAGAATTCGTAATACTATTCGCTTTACCATCACGTCCGGAACGATCAGAATTTGTTCCTAACTCTTGAAAGCATTTGATCGCGTTGTAAACAAGTTCTTTGCGTATCATCAATCGCTTAGAGATATCCATGGCCAGAACGCCACGCTTGTGAAGGTCGGTGATCGCATCTCGGTACACTGACTTCTTGTTTTTCTTGTTTCTGACTTCTTGACCATTCTAAAAAGAGACATTTTTTGTGAAAATATAGTAAATAAATAGTTAAATAAATAAAATAAACCAAAAGAAAGACAAAAACAAGATATAAATTGTAAGCAAAAATATGCAATATCAAAGATACCCCTAGTCCCCGTGATCCTGGACAATTCTGTATTTCACTTACCCTGTTCATACTCGGATTCGACCACTGATTCGAATTAAAGGATTGAGCTTCTGCTAAACAGAATAAACCAATGAATAGGATGAATGTTGTCATTGTTAGCCGATTCAATTTTCAGTCGTTGATTCGTATCGATTATTCGACTTTTATAAGCGTTTTTTTGCGTGAGTCAGTGCTTATTTTGGTGATTTCTTTGGTGATTTCTTCAGTGTAAGTTGAAGCACGGACTAGCTCCTCCCCCGATGCGTCAAAGGTCAAATCCCCGGCAAATCCCGTACTTCTTGGCTTTTGTCTATTTACTAAACAAAACCCAAAAGAGATTTTTGAGAGAAAGCATTTTCTATTTGATGGCATGCACCCGGTCAATTTCAAGAGCTTTGATTTTCGGATGAACTTCGCTCTTGTGCGAGCAAATATGCACAAAACAGCTTTCTTGAAACTATAGAAAGCACAGAAAGCACTGAAAACTGATTGTTATGACTTTGCATTCACAGAAATGTTAGTGAATTTGGTGATGATGTTTAATATGGTGATAAAGTTGAAATTCACAGATAGTTGTATGAACTTCCGATGATAGCGTTGTCAATGAGCTAGATTAGAAGGCTTGAGTGATACACAGAAATTGTTGTGACTTTGGATTCACCGAGATGGTTGTGACTTTAGATTTTAAAAATTCATCACAGCAAAGCTACTTTTTTTGGATTGGTTAGTGTGTTGATTCAGCTATACTTTCTGGACTGAAAACCTATGAATAGCTTTAAGTCGCAAAGCTTTGAGTACTTTAAAACTTCAAGCACACCAAAATGGGTTCGTTTTGAGCACAAAGTATACTCAATAAAGAAATTATTGATACCTGTAAGTTATTGATAACAACTCGTTTAGCTACCATTTTTCTTGGTGTTCTTGATCAGAATCCACCTTGAGAAAACATTCCTCAACGGCAATTTTGTGCATATTTTATCTAGATAAATTTATTACAATAGTTTTTCACAACGATGATAGATTAATAATGTTTTGATCACCAATTTTTGAAACCATAAAATATGCGTTTTTTTCTCCTTTTCCCACAAAATGAGTGCCAATGCGGAGGGCTTTTTTTGAGCTAGAAGCCGCCTCTATTCCGTTAAGATTGCTTTTTTCTGAACTAATAAACTCGTTAAAACTTGATTCAACACAAAACAGTGTGTTGATTCAGCTATACTTTCGAATTGAAAAGGTTTTGAGCAGATATTTCTGATATTTCTGATCTGAATTTTGGATGGTAAAACCATGCGTCGACCCCAACTCTCAGCCGCCGTTTAGGCGCCTTTCCCGCTTGTATGATTTTAAAGTCCAAACTTTCCTCTCTCAGGTTACCGTATTCTCTCTAATAGTAGTGCACTTTGATCCTCGTTTAAATTACTCGAAATCTCGAAAACCGCTTAGCAGAACCTATCGATGTGGGGTCGGAAAATGTAGCTGACGATGAGATCTTGTGGGGATTAGAGGGTCGAGCTTCTGTGAAAGCTTGGAAACCGGAAAATAGTCATCAACTCGGCTCGCCGCGGTGCACTACTATTAGAGAGAATACGGTTTATGAAAAGCTAGGTTAGCGTTATCGTTTCCGAAGTGAATTAGCGACTTCTAGTTCAAAAAAGTCCTCCGCTCTGCGCCAAGGCACTCATTTTGTGGGAAAGGGAGAAAAAACGCATATGCTGTGTTTTTTGGAGCATTTTGAAGGGCGAAGGAGGAGGGCGGGGCTTGTTTACAGACAGACGGACAGACAGACTGCACAATTATATATAGATACAAATGACAATGCATTGATGCTAAAACAAGGGCGATATTTCGGGACATTTTGGGGGCATTTCCTTTTTCTAAATGCTCGTTTCAACCAATTTTTGGCCTCAAAAAGCGCATTTTAATTATTTTCTTCACAATTTCTATTGTTGTTGTTAATTGTTGATGATTTGCACAAATGGATTTATTATTTTCATTGCTAGAGCTCACGAAGAAGAGCTTTAACTGTTTGTTGTTGTTGTTTATTTGTTGTTGTTGTTAGAACTTGCGGAAACTCGTGTCTCGTGAAACAGCTTGAAACAAAAAACAAAATTATTGTTTGTTCTGTTTACAAAAGCTCACATTTGCAAAAGAATCAAGATAGTCAATCAAAACAAAAATCAAATCAAATCGTTTCTCTCTTCACAAGTCAACTCTGTCAACTCTGTCAACTCTATCAACTCTGTCATTTCTTCTCTCCCGTTTTTCTCTTAGTTGTTTCCCCTAAAAGTGAAACGTCCTTGTTCTTCTTTCTTTTTCTCTCTTTTAAAATGAATTGCCTTAAAAAAATCGTTTCTCCGCTTTGAGTCTCGACTCATTCAAAAGTGACTTCAAAATTCTCTCTACTTCTACTCATTTTTCTCTCGAAAAATGATCATCTCACCGGAACTCCCTTCTCTTTTTTTGTTTTTTTTTGCTTTTCAAAATTTCTCAATTCCTTTCAACTTTTGTGACACAAAATGTATTGATTTTTGTGAATGTTTCCAGAGAATTTTGCTTTTCGGAGGGATCTCTGGGCCGACGGATCGTCGTTTTCGTCGCTGTTTTACAGGTGATTTGAGAGAAGATTTGTTGGCTCATTAATAAAGCTCATTAGTAAAGCTTATTAGTAAAGTTTATTAGTAAAGCTGATTAGTAAAGCTGATTAGTAAAGCTTATTAGTAAAGCTGATTAGTAAAGCTTATTAGTAAAGCTTATTAGTAAAGCCTATTAGCAAAGCTTATTAGTAAACTAAAGGATTGTTTATTTTTTGTAAACTTTTCAATTCTATTTTCAAACTGGAACTAACTGGGACGCAATTCGAAAGTTGAAAAGGTTTTCAATGGATGCCAAGCTATTTCTGGAGCTTTAACTGAATATTTTGACATTTTTGACACAAAACTAATCTAAACGAATCTCATTTGAATTTAAAATTCAAATTAGAACATTCAAATTGGAGCTTCTGTGACACTAAAAACTAAAAAGAAACTAGATTTCATTCCAAGCAGAGTCACCGCCTTTTCCAACTTCAGAAATGTGTTCACAATGGGCGCTCTTCTCATTAGTTTGCTTCTGTTCGTCTACACCGCTTTTCACTTCATAATCCAGTATTTCGGTGAGGTTTTCGTTAAGAACAAAACTTTCATTCTTGGACTACTTTAAAATAGAAAGGTTGAGATCACCTCCGTTGTACAGCCACAACAAGACAAAAAGAAATCGTCAATTTTCTTAGACTCTCAATGCTGAATGTCAATTTGCATTTTAGCAACTCAAAAATTCATCCACCAATCACCCACAAAAATTCAGTTGACCTGTCGCAATCCCTCTACGCGATCTACCGTATCCATTCCGATTTCGAGCCAGACTCCAATCATCAACCGCTCTTTCAGCTCATGCTAGAGAACATGTGGAAGCAGAAAGAATACCCAATTGACATCCCGAGTCTCTTTTTGTTTTCTGCATATATGATGTATTTATTGTGAGTGAGAGGAGGGGAGAGGAGAACGGGGGCCAAAAAGATTGACAAGGGAAAATCAAGTGGACAAGGTGGTCAAATGGCATGTGCTATATCTGATTCGATGCAGAACTTTACACTAATTCCGACCATAGTTTCAGTTTTGGCTAGGCGCTACCCTATCAAAAGTTATACGAGTTTAAAGTTTCACAAAGCATTTACAGGGTTAAATTATGATGTTAGTTTTACTCAAGGTCAAATTATGGTAAGCTAGTTTCCCAAAGGCTTTTCAAAAGCCCTGGTGGCCAAGTTGTAGTGAGTTAGCATAGGAAGCGAAGATTCTTTGGTTCGATTCCCCTTTACATCTTTTCCTTTTGCTTTTTTTCTTTGACCAACTTGGGTATTCTCCATTTCAACTTCGTCTCACAAGTGACTATTTAATTTTTACATATAATAAACATTAAAAACAGTAGTTATATAAGTTATGTTGTGCGTGAGGGAATTTGTACTTTGTGCACCAAAAAAAGCAAAAAAGAAAAGATGAAAGGGGAATCGAACCAAAGAATCTTCGCTTCCTATGCTAACTCACTACCGCTCGGCCACCAGGGCTTTTGAAAAGACTTTGGGAAATTAGTTTACCATAATTTGACCTTGAGTAAAACTAACTTATCATAATTTCACCCTGTAAATGCGTTGTGAAACTTTAAACTCGTATAACTTTCGATAGGGTAGCGCCTAGCAAAAACTGAAACCATCGTCGGAATCAATGTGAAATTCTGCGTCGAATCGGATATAGTACATGCCATTTGACCACCTTGCCTACTTGATCTTCCCTTGTCAATTTTTTTCGGGAATCGAACCAAAGAATCTTCGCTTCCTATGCTAACTCACTACCACTCGGCCAACAGGGCTTTGAAACGCCTTTGGAAAACAACTTATCATAATTTGACCATGAGTTCAAAAATGCCTTGTAAAACTTTAAACTCGTATAACTTTTGATAGGGTAGCTCCTAGCAAAAAACTGAAACCACATTCGGAATCAGCGTGAAATTCTGCGTCGAATCGCGCTCATGCCATTTGGCAACCTTGCCCACTTGACTTTCCCTTGTGAGCCAAAGATTGAATAAAGTATTCGGGTCGTTCCACAGTTTATTCATGTCTTATAAATTATACACAGCATGTACGATACAGTACAGTTTACAATTTATTGAAAGCTTTTTCTACAATTTCACTCATCAATCTTATAAAAGTGTGTCTTAAGGGGGGAGGGGGACCATTCTCGCTTCTCCGAAAATATTTTGAACATAACTTTCCCTTCCAATTCAAATATTTTCAAAGTTTCTTTCTAGATTTAGAAACTAGAGAAATTCTGCATCAAAATATGCAAAGAAAATTCAAAAAAGATACATTTTATGCCAAAAGATTCAAAATAACCCCAAAAGTTGGGCAATTGAACCAGCAATGTGCCCGATTTCCATTTCGAATCCTCATCAAAATCTTTTCTTGTCTTGCAAAATCGACTCCCTGGCAGGGATTTCATCGATTTCTCTTCGCAATTTATGAGAATGTAAATAAGTAAAAGGCTAAAAAGGGCTCCCAAAAAAATTTTAGACAGCCTTATGGTATCCAAATATATCTACTCCAGCGGAAAGCCCATTTGGGACGGAAAGCGCATAGTTTAAAAGGCTGATGCTAAGTACCTTCCACTAATTCTTTGCTATTCTTTAAACCATGATTGTCGAGCTCTCTTCGGACACACCCAACCCGTTCCTGTTAGCTTTCTTTCTTTAAAAATGACTAAAACTACCATAACCCATGTTAAGCTCTGCCCTTTTTTAAAAATGGACCTAAAAGCCAGATTCCCCATAGCCGAAAACCCCCGGGAGCAAAATTTTGCGCGCAAAAGCTGAATACTTTGCCTTTTAACCGATAGAGCAAACGCAATTACGGAGCGTCGCGTTTGCGCACAGACCGACAGACGGACGTCCCTTTCGCTTTATATATAGTAGATATAAAATAAATTGAAACACTCCTCAGCAACTACAAGTATTCAACCAGAAACAACGAAATCTCTGGGACATTAACCCTGGAAATTGTCGTATAAAGAGCCAAAGCTAGAAACTTACTCAATTGCTTCGAGTCTTGCATTGATTGTGCTAGTTTGAGGTCCATGTTATTTGAGATCCCAAAATTTCTTTATCACTTCTTTCATTGTGGATTTGTATTTACGAAATCCAGCTCTTCGAATTCTTCTCTCAGTTCGACCGTGTTTATCTCATCGATTTCTTCTGAAGAACTGATGACAAGCGTTTTATAGAATTTAAAGTTCTTTTGGATTTTTTACTGGCTCTAATAGTTATGCGGGTTAAGTTCAAAGTCAAACATAGAGATCCTTAACTCGAGTAAAGCTTTGAGTTCCGAGAAATGCACGTTCACGTAGCCCTAAATGGATTGACGTCAAAATATCGTAAAGTGCAACTTTCTTGTCTCATTAAAGTAACCTTAAAAGTTTCTTTGGATCGCCGGACCTCCTACCAACTCAAAGAGTTTCTCATTGAGATTAAAGAGCATCAAGGTTTTAGTTTCCGATGATCATATAATGGATATAAAGAAGAAGATGGGGATAAAAATTTCTTTATTTTGCATGCGAAATCATTGACTTCTTGCACAGTTGTGACACATGATTTGCGACTTGAGAGAAGGGATTATACGCCTTATTCGTTGATTTATTTGAGGGTGGGTTCAATAAGAATGCTTACTCATGTTTAGGTTCAGTTGAAAAAGGTCTACTGTAGTCAAAGAATTAGAAGATTCATCATTATCTTCTGTGGGGGGACAAGTTTTTGATCATTTTGCAGCCCGATTTTAGAGAGGTTTTTGTTTATAACTTTTGATGAAACAAATAGACTCTGAAAGTTGACGTTCTAAGCTACCTAAATCTTATTAAAACTTCCTGATCTGAGAAGATTAAGGTGCTTAAAAATGAGCTGCAAAATGGTCAAAAATTCACTCCTCTCCTCTCCCCCTCCATAGCCGTAAAGGTTCGTCATTTGTTGTGACATTTTTGAACAAATAGAAAAGAAGCAACTGTATGTTTTCCTGTTTACAAAAAGAAGTTATAAACAGCTCTTTTTCTGAGTCACAATTTTAATGGTCGTTTTCTTTTTCTGACACAATTTTTGCCGAGTTATGGGTTTTTGATAAAACGAACTTTTTTGATCGATTTTCTACAGCTCTAGATTTTTTGTTTCTTGAACGATGTCGGAGAACTTACAAGTCAAATGTGTAGGCCAGGGAGGATATGGAGTGGTTATGCTACTAAAATCGTATCATCCGTAAGTGAGCTTTGAACTCTTTATGCATTTTAGAACTTGAATATCGTATCTCTGACGTAATCTTTGTGATTAGACAAATTGTGATGAAAGAGATTGTCAAGAACCCAAAAATCGACTTCCAAACCGAACTTAAAGTGCTCAAAGAACTCTCACATCCAAATATTGTCAAATACGTCGATCGACCCTCCGATTTTACGTATAATGGCCAAAATTTGGTGATCTTCATGGAATTTTGTGAGAATGGATCTCTAAAGCAAGGTTTGTTGATTCAATTTTTAATCTAAAAGTATGCTAGTCATCTCTGATTCAACCCTCATCTACTCAATTGCGACAATTGCAAAATGGGCTGAAGAAATATTTTACGCGTTAGTGTACCTTTTTCAGAAGAAAAAAGTGCATCGGGACATTAAATCGGCAAAGTTTGTTTACAAAGATTCAAGTAAAGTTTTTTTTTCAGCATTTTCCTGACTCGAGATCACATTGTCAAGATCGGAGATTTTGGTATAGTGAAAGAGTTTTCAAAGGCAAGCCATTCCGGGCAACCAGTTGGCACTTTTGGATATATGGCACCCGAAGTGTTAAATAAATTAGTTGTCGATGAAGAGGTTTGCTTTTTTTTTAATGTTTTTATGGCAAAATTTCCTAAACTACCGTAAATACTGTAATTGAAACCCCGGGCTCCCTGGTGGGGCTCCTCCTCTGGTGGGGCTCCTCCTCTGGTGGGGCTCCTCCTCTGGTGGGGCTCCTCCTCTGGTGGGGCTCCTCCTGAAAAAGGTACACTAAGGTACAAAAAAATGTAAAATATTTCTTCAGCTTCCTCTGGTGAGGCTCCTCCCCTGGTGAGGCTCCTCCCTGGTGAGGCTCCTCCCTGGTGAGGCTCCTCCCCTGGTGAGGCTCCTCCCTGGTGAGGCTCCTCCCCTGGTGAGGCTCCTCCCTGGTGAGGCTCCTCCCTGGTGAGGCTCCTCCCTGGTGAGGCTCCTCCCTGGTGAGGCTCCTCCCTGGTGAGGCTCCTCCCCTGGTGAGGCTCCTCCCCCTGGTGAGGCCCCCCTGGTGAGGCTCCTCCCCTGGTGAGGCTCCTCCCCTGGTGAGGCTCCTCCCCTGGTGAGGCTCCTCCCCTGGTGAGGCTCCTCCCCTGGTGAGGCTCCTCCCCTGGTGAGGCTCCTCCCCCCTGGTGAGGCTCCTCCCTGGTAGCCCGGCTCCTCCCTGGTGAGGCTCCTCCCTGGTGAGGCTCCCCCCTTCCCTCCACTTCCAGAGGCGGCCTTCTAATTTTCATCTGAACTTTTTGAAAAATTCCAAGCTACCAAAATTGGATATACTGACAGACAGATTCGTTCGATAAACTAATTTTCTTCTAATTTTATTCAAAAACAGTATAAACATCAAAAACAAGTGCTAATAATCAACAAAATTTAATAAAAACGAATTTGAAATTGATCAAACTAGACATCAAAGTCAATCGAAACATCGGAGTCAACGACTTCTTCTGGATCATTATCAGCTTCTTCTTCTGGAACATTATCAGCTTCTTCTTCTGGATCATTTTCTTCGCGAGAATTTTGAAATCCTGTGAATTCGAAGAGTTCTAGTAGATCGTCGATTTCTTTTTTCATGCAAGCATCCTTCAGCATGTGCGTTCCTGTAGAGATCGAACCATCCGGTTTGAAACAGTGAATCAAGTAATCCTCACTTCCATTGGAAGCAATTCTGATTCCACATGTTTTGAAAGATTTTAGAATGGATTACTTGCTGATTGTGTCGCAAGCACTCAAAATCCAGCTTAAGTAGATGTCCATTGAAGGAGACTTTGGATTGCCACCACCCATTTCATCTTTTTGTGTTCTTGTCAAATACGGAGCCGATGTCTGAGGTCAGTCTGAAGAAGGTCAGGGTCTGAGGTGGGGCAGTCTGTAGCTGGGGAAGGTCAGGGTCTGAGGTGGGTTGGTTTCAAATCAAATCAACCGCTCGTTTTTGTTAAAGAATGCTTGTAATGCTCTTCAGAGCTGGATCAGGAGTAGCCAACTCGAATTTTTTATCTATTTTATCCTATCCTCATACTGTTGTCGGATCTTTACTTTAAACCGTGCATTCCAAGAAACAGGTTGAAGCATTTGTTTTTCCTTTCTTTCCAACAAAGCAATAATTTCAATTGAAATTTGGATTCGATCTTATAATTCAACGTTTTCCTCGGGATCACCACAAACGGCTTTAATTTCTTTCCGTCAGATCTTTCCGTCGGCGTTATCGAGATGTTAATTTTGTCGTAAGAGATCTCGCTCAAGCTCCCGGCAGTCCAGGAACTCCAATCCCTCGCCAAGATTATCAATTATACCTAAAAAATGTTAGAAACGTATTGAGAAACTGTAAAGCATTGAAAAGTTCGATGTTTTACAATTTCTCAACAAAAAAGTATAAAAAAATAAATAAACAAAAGAAAATCTTCAAATGAAATGAGCAAGAAGTTTACAAGAGATAAATTAATGCAAAAAGTAGAATTTTGAGCAAAATAAATGCAAATTTGCAGAGCTTCTATTAGAGGAGGGCTTCAATTACAGTATTTACGGGAAAGCAATTGAGAATATCTTCTAGATAAGCAAAATTATAGAATGAACATAAGTGTGACGTTTTTGGAGCAGGAATCGTCCTTTTGGAGCTCATCGAAAGGAAGTGAGTCAAAAAGAGACACTTTTGACATGTTATTCTTAAGCTGGGTTGTCTTTTCCCAATTCCAAACCCAAAAATCTCAAGGCCAGGTCAGGTTCGGCAATTCTTGTTTTAATTATTCAACTAAGAAAATGGACTAGCTGTAGTGTTAAACAAAACTCAAGTACACTTGCAGTTAAAAACTCCGCCCAAAGCTTTTCAGACCTTTGCCTCAAATCGACACCCCACTGAGAGTACACCACGACTTCAAGGAGTTGGTCCAACTTGTTGAAAAGTTTGCCAGCATTCTTGAATTTTAACGCTAGCTTCAGTTGCACGACGGTTGACTATAAAATCCGAGCTGCTCCAAGTGAAGCTCTAAAAATTGTGAACTTGCTTAAAAAAGGTTAGGATATTTAATGGGGTATCTATTGGGTTGGGGAGAATGAGTCGGCGCCCAACTTTAAAGGGACTTTTTGCACACATAAAGCCTTCTTTAAACATACGTTTGGTTTCATCAAAAGGATCCACTATTTCTCTACAAAATGACTTTTGAGAGATTCCACAAAGCTTTTCTTTCGTGGAGTTTATGAACTTCCAAACGCAGCTGGTTAATATGGCAAAGAGTCCGACTCATCATTTGAACAGTTTCTTTCACATAAACCTTCTTTGGTGTTTATATAAAAAAGATAGAGCACATTCAATTACTTAAGTTGCCAAATTTGCAGGAAGATCCCACCAATGGTTTTTTCTAGATCACAGTTTGTAGTTTTTGTGAAAAAATGGCTTTTTCTTGAGCGGAGGCGCTGTTTGAATTTTCTTTTAAATGTCATTTTGTAGAGAATTAGTTAACCATTCTACTGATATCAAACGCATATTATTTGACGAAGTCGAATAGAAGTTTTAGACATTTTTTGCATTTTCGGCGCCGACTCATTCTCCCCAACCCAATAGCTTAGCTGTTTAAAGGAGACATTTAAAGGAATTGTTTAAAGGAGACATCTCTTACATGCAAATTTATAACTTTACCAAACAAATTAGGCCTATTGTGACACTTGTTCTTTACAGAAAACCATTGACTTTGAGTCGGTGCCCGAGCGACGAATAGCTCAAAAGCTTCTCGTCAAACCCATTGGACTAAATGGAACACATGAAGAAGCATTGGTTTACGACTACAGTAACAGTTCTCTTGATCATATTCCAACAATAACTTTCGATTTCAAAAGTGATGAGAAAGCGGAAGCAAAGATTGAAAACTGTCCCGGAGAAAAGGCTGTGAATTCACTGCTGGCTTCACAACAGCAGAACCAATTAGCGGAATGGTTGCAAAAGCTAGAAGTTGATGTAAACTTTGACAAAATCCTTCTCTACAACCTCGAAGTTTTCAGAGATTTTCAGTGGATTGAAGGAAATTTCTTTGATGAAAATAACAAAATAGAGAATTTCTTTGATGCGAATAACAAAATAGAGAATTTCAATGAACCAAGAAAACATCTTTCCAAGAAACTCATCGATTTGATTAAAAATATAAATGTTGAAGAAACTAAAGCACTTTTCGATTCTCTACATCACACTTTGATTGCCAATTTTCGTTTGAGACGCTATCTGAATTTCTCATTTGATGATAATGGACCAGATGTTCCTGAAGAGTTAACAGCAGCTCTTGAAAAAGTGCCCGAATTCTCTTCGATTTTAAAATACGATCACAAAATCCAGAATGCTTGCTTTGGTTTTGCGTTCTTTGTTATGCGAGAATGTCAACGATCAAATCTCACAAATCAAGACATTTCGAAGCTCATAGAGATGGCGATCAAAAATGTTGAAGAGCTAGAGAAAATCTTCTCCCGTCGCCTATATTTTACTGTCTTTTACGTGGAATGTTCAAGACTTGAGTGGTTTGATACAGAACCTTATTATCATATCTACATGAGAAGAGATCTTACTCATTTCGTGGACAATGAGACAATAAAGGATTCAAACGGGAATCCCATGTATAAGATTCCAATTGATATCGAAGCGGTGAGAAGGTATTGGTTTGACCGGAAAGACTTGTCCACCATTTTGAAATTTTCGTTTACAAATGAATAATTAGCCGATCAATGTGTGATTTACTTTAAATAAAAAAAGATTAACTATTTCCTTTAGCGCATTTTTAGGTAACTTTCTAAGTCTTAGCTACCGTATTTTCTCTAATATCAAGTGATCAAGTGAAATGGGAGAAAATAGGGCTCTTAAAGATAGGTAAAGATAGCCGGGGAATTTGAAGGCTAATTCACTTCGGAAACGATAACACTAACCTTACTTTTCCTATACCCTATTCTCTCTAATAGTAATGCACCCCGTCGAGCCGAGTTGGTGACGATTTTACGGTTTCCAAGCTTTGCAGAATCTCAACACTCTAATCCCCCCACTAGATCTCATCGTCAGCTACATTTTCCGACCCCACATTGATAGGTTCTGATAAGTGGTTCTCGAGATTTCGAGCAATTTAGGGTGCACTACTATTAGAGAAAATACGGTAATCCTTTAGGCCTTCAATTCTAGACCTTAGTTTTAATTCAGTATTTTAAACCAACAATTAACAAATGAAAAAGCAGCTTTTTCCTAGCAATTCCATTTTCAGATCACTCTACGATCACCGTGAAATTTTACGGCGATTCATGCATCGGCCCCGCACCGAACATGTCTCAATGCATTACCTTCTTGACACACTTGAGGATCAAGCTAAGGAGCAAATTCCGATTGATCAACTGTCTGTGTGGGCTAAAGATTATCTGGATAAAACTCGAGTTAAAAATGCTGAACAGGTTCAATCTAGTGAAATTGTGGAAGAAAAAGTAGGCGATGAAGCAACGAATAATATTGATGAAGCTGTTAGCTCAGCTGTTAACTCAGCTGTTAACAAAACAGTTGTTTCACAAAAAACTGGAGATCATTCGTGGAGCTAGTTCTCTAGAGATTCGATTGAATCAACTACCGGAAACAAATGAAATTGTAGCTTTTGTCCGTCATTTTCGAGAACCTGGTTTCTTTGATCCGTTTGATGGGTTTTACTTTTTCTTCAATTCTCCCCGGAAGAGGCTTGGAAAAGCTACCACTTGCACGAGCTTATCGTATTATTGCAGACGATCCTGACGGACTACGGAAACTACGCAGCCAAGCAATGACACCAAAACACAAAGTGTTCATGGAAAACTATGCACTTTTTGAGAAAGCTTGGTCATATGTTCTTTGCTATTCAACACTTGAGAATCAGCTACCAATTTTATTCCTCATCAAAGAGTTTCTCATTGAAATTAAAGAGCATCATGATTTTAGTTTCCGATGCTCATATAATGGAAATAAAGAAGAAGATGAAGATAACAATTTCTTGATTTTGCATCCGAGAACATTGACTTCTTGCACAGTTGTGACACATGATTTGTTGATTGAAAGAGTGAATTATACGCCTTATTCGTTGATCTATTTGAAGGTGAGTTCAATAAGAATGCCTACTCATTGTTTAGGCTTATTGTCAGTTGAAGAAAGTCTATTTTACAATGAGTCTTAGCTAGTCAAAAAATTCGAAGCTCCATCATTGCATTAGTACTTAGGATTTAAAATATCTAGCCTTCTATTAGGTTGGTGAATTGGAAACTGCCGGACTTTGAACTAAAATTTATTCAAAATAAAACCATAAATTCGTTCCAAATAATTTCCATTATTATTGACGACTTCTGCCCATTTTACAGGCAATTTGCGGATTCCTCTTTCGTAGTAGGATTTTGGTTTGTGTGTGAGACAAGTGTGAGACTCAAAAATCGAGGACTGGAGACTCAAAAATGGAGGAATGTCCCAGTTTGAGCACTTTCTTCAAAAGAAACCCATTTTGGTGTCAATAGAAAAATTGTAGAGAATCAAAAATTAGGCTTATAGCCAAATTTCCAAAAAGATACACTTAGTAGTTCCGCTTAAAGCGCAAGTTTTGTCAAAAAATTCGTAAATTTGTCATTTCTTGAAAACCGATTTTTGAATGGTTCTGAAAATTTGGATTTAAGCTTCATTTTGGATTCTCTACAACTTTTCCATTGACACCAAAATGGGTTTCTTTTGAAGAAAGTGCTCAAACTGTCACAGATCACAATACCCGGCAGTTTTCAATTCACCAATCCAATAGTAAAGTAATAGTAAAGCGACCGTATTCTATTTTCCTACGACTTTAATGGATTGAATTTCCCTTAATGAGACAAGAAATTTAGACTTTACGGTATTTTCACGGCATCCCTCAGTCAGTCAACTTTGTTCTACTAGCTAGTTCAAGTTTAGGGTTACGTGAACGTGCATTTCTCGGAACTCAAAGCTTTACTTGAGTCAATGATCTCTTTGTTCGACTTTGAACATTACTCACGTAAGTATTAAAAATAGTAAACGATCCACTAAAAATTGAAGTCAAATGGAAATCTATTAATAGATTAATACTTTTATTCCCCACTTTTCAGACGAAATCGATGAGGTAAACACGGCAGAAATGAGAGAAGAATTCGAAGAGCTGAGGGGATTTCAAAACTACAAATCCACAATGAAAGAGGTGATAAAGAAATTTTGGGATAACATGGACCTCAAATTAGCTCCATCAATGCAAGAACTCGAAGCAATTGAGTAAGTTTCTAGCTTTGGCTCTTTATACGACAATTTCCAGGGTTATTGTCCCAGAGATTTCTTTGTTTCCTGCTGAATACTTGTGAACAATTGCTGGAATTGTATTAGGTTGACCCATAAGTCTTGGTAACACTTTGTTCTACTAGCGTTTATAAATGAAAAATTTACCAATTCACCAATTCGCTCCATTAGAAAGGTCTACTATTTTCCTACAAAATAACTTTCAAATCTTATGAAAATGTTTTTTTTATGGTTTTTTTATGGGGGCGCGAAGTCGGGTAGTCAAAAAAAAGGCGACGAGACGCGATTTTAGGCGTTTTGTTCTTCCAAGACAACTAAGTGTAAACTCTGGAGAAGAGTGGAAAAATGGCTGGTGTGGGAAGAGAGTTCAAATTGATCAACCGGTGAGATTTAGCAGAGTATAAGCTGGGTTTAGTCTTTAGCTTTATATATTGAGCTTTGTTAAGGAATCTGACAGGGAATCTGCCACTTATTAGGTAAATGATAGGACTATCAAGCTCTGGCTTTACAAACTGAATTTTGCTGTTCAGAAAGTCTTTCGTTCCTTTTCATACTTCCGTTTAGAGCGAACAAATGCATTAATTGAACTGTGGTTTGTTTCACTAGAAACACCAATTATTTCTCTACAAAATAACATTAAAGCGAGTTTACAATGTCTTATTTCTGGATACTTTTGAGAGCGTGAAGTCGCGTAGTCAAAAAGAGCGACGGTTCGATGATGCGAAGACTTTAGTGTTAGAAAAGACACACTTTAGCTGAGAAAGCCTATGCTGTTGTCAATAGATAAAAGATAGAGCACAAAAAGTTAGTTATATAGCCGAATTCTCAGGATAATCTGTTTAACCGATTTCTTTGTAGAGCTTTTTGATCGAATTTTACGAAAAACGAGCTTTTGCACTCGAATTTACTTGAAAACAGACCCAAAACGACTTGAAATGATAGAAAAGTGAATGCTAAACATTTTCTATTTAGAGCAATCAATTCGTTACTTAGTCACTTACCATATGTTCTAAGCATTGCATTTTGCATTTTAGGGGGTAGGCTAATTTCCTTTTTTTTTTACGCACTGCCATAACTTTTCTAATGGGCTAATCTTTATGATTCTAGTGTCATTCTGTTGCACTTGTTGAGATCTACAAAATAACACTAAAAACATCAAGATTGACCAATTAAGAGGAAAGTATGTGGAGAGTTGCGCAAAAGGGCCCAGCTGCGCAAGAAAATTTGGCCCAAAGTAACCACCCCGCTCGCCCCCCGCCCCCTAAATTTGTTTAAAAGGGTAACAAAAAACAATAAACGTTTTCTATTTAAAGCAAAACGTAGGTGAATTGGTGAATTTATCATTTATAAACGCTAGTAGAACAAAGTGTTACCAAGACTTATGAGCCATCCGGGCTTATGAGCCAATCGTTTTTCTATAGATCTTAAAATATCATATAAATCCATCATCTAACCATTATTCAAAGTACACATTATCACACAACAGCTACGACTCAATCCGTTCTCGTGATTCGCTGACATTCCCATTGAGAGCGTAAATTCTCAAAGTAGACTTTCTTGGCGTGATTCTCCAAATTGTAAAGATCGCTTATCTTTGTGAGTCGATTGCGCCCCGCTTTTCAATACAATCCAATAAACCAACCATGGAGAAATTGCCGTGAAATACATTGGAATCTAAAGATTATTTGTAATCTAAAGATTAAACCGTTTAGCCCTTCGGAATGATCGCAAAAGATCAATTTCTATAAAAAAAGTAACGAATATTCCTACTAAGCTTCATTCTTAGAGTTCTTTGCTTCACTTTCTCAAGCTCAGGGTTTTGTAATTCTTGCACTTTTGGTAACGATTTTGTTTTACAGCGTGTCCGAAAAAGTGGTAATAGGTTTGAGTCTGGAGAAATTTTTTCGTTGATTTTTTCAAGGCTGATGTCAAAAATGGTTTTGGCCTCAGGCGTCACACAACAAGATGAAGTTGATTATTTGATGATTTTGTGAATTGGGGGTCATGCATTGGCCGCGGAGCTCAAAACCCACGTACATATATGAAAGCAAAAACACTTTTCCATAAAAACACACTTTTGAATTCCCTATTCTCACCACAAATCTTTCTACTTATTATGGGGGGAAATTTGTTTTGCTATTAGGAGCTTGAAAATAAGAGACCTCAAAAAGTCGAACTTGGGTTTTCTCAAGAGGTTTTCTTCATTTAAAAATTACCGTATTTTCTCTAATAGTAATGCACCGCGGCGAGCCGAGTTGGTGACTATTTTATAGTTTCCACCTTTTCCCAGAAGCTCAACACTCTTAATCCTCCACTAGATCTCATCGTCAGCTACATTTTCCGACCCCACATCGATAGGTTCTGATAAGCGGTTCTCGAGATTTCAAGCAATTTAAAACGACGATCAAAGTGCCCTACTATTAGGGGAAAATAATGTTAGGTACAGTACTTAGAAACTAATCTAAAAAGTTCTTTAGGAGAATCTGGTCTTCTCCTGGTATTCCTGGTTAATTTGGAGAAGATGGATTGCCTGGAAGGACCCGGACGTGATGGATACCCTGGAGCCCCTGGAATCAAGGGAGAACAAGGACCTGGAGGAGCGCCTGGACAGAGCGGGTACCCTGGAACCCCAGGAATGAAGTGCCCGGTGAAAAAGGCCATAGTTTAAAAACAAGTAATCTACAGGAGACGGTGGATTGCCTGGCTTCCCAAGGACTCTAATCCCCCCATTAGATCTCATCGTCAGCTACATTTTCTGACCCCACATCGATAGGTTCTGATAAGCGGTTCTCGAGATTTCGAATAATTTAAACGACGATCAAAGTGCACTACTATTAGAGAAAATACGGCATTTGGATTTCCAGCAAGTAGCTCTTGGGAGCAAAGTCAAGCACGTATGACAAATAAATTGAGGCATTAAGGAATACTTATAAAATAAAGTACAAAAGACTAAGGGTCTTGATACAAAAATATACTCTGGAGTTAAGACAAGAACTTTTTAGTATAGGATCCTGTTTTTCATTAGTGTTTCTATAGAGCTGAGTGAATCCACAAAGAGTGAAACACACAAAACAACGTTAGAGGCTCATTCTCTTGATTGAGCCAAGCAATCGTTATCAAATTTTGTCCACTAGTTAGCATAGACTTTCTATGATCTTTCCTGCCAACCTAATATTAGGGTTTTCCATAAGTTCTTGAGATTCTTAAATTTGTGATTTCTTATGGACATGGATCCTGTTGTTCATTAGTATTTCTATAAAGTTGGGCGAGTCCACAAAGAGTGAAACACACAAATCAATTTCCACTTGTTGAATTCATTTAGCTTAATCATCGAAAGTTTACAACACAACATGCAATAGAAAATTTTAGAGAAAAAGATTTGGGCCAATCGTTGTTGTGTTTGAGACTCGTTTAAGAAAGCGCTGACCAATCATCATTGCGAAAAACTGTCATTAAACACACAAATCAACGTTAGAGGCTCATCCTCTTGATTGAGCCAAGCAAAGCCAAGCAATTGAGAAATAGAAGAATTCAAAAATGTGTGTTTTTCATGTATGCATGGATTGTTTTTCATATATGTACGTAGATTTTGAGCTCCGTGGCTGATGCATGACCAACAGTTCACAAAAAGAGTTCACAAAAAGAGTTCACAAAATCATCAAAACAATCAACTTCACTTTGTTGTGTGACGCCTGAGGCAAAAACATTTTTGGTACCACGATGAGCCATGAAAAATCAACGAGAAAATTTTTCCAGACTCAAACCGATGACCACTTTTTTTAGAGACCCTTATTATATTTTATATATTTTGTTAACCTAAAAACTGTTAACTTATTTGTATTTTGTTAACTCACAAAGAAAAACCCGGACCCAGCCGAGTAATAAGGATCATCCAAATAGCTGAAAAACTTTCGATAAGCAGCTCCACAAATCGCAAAGGCAACAAAGGAGAAAGCGTGTAAAAGACTAATAATTTTGAGTTTATCAAGACTTAAACAAGAATCAAGGCTTAGACAAGAATCAAGACTTAGACAAGAATCGAGACTTAGACAAGAATCAAGGCTTAGACAAGAATCAAGACTTAGCATTGCTTTGTTATAGATCTTACGGAATTGATTCTTGTTGTTGTTCTGGTTTATTTCTTAAAACACTTACCTATACGGTAAAAACAGTTGCATCGTGAGCATCAATTGCCTTCTCCGAAGATTCACCGAAACAATATATGATCTTTGCAATCTGAAAAGGAAAATAGAAAATCAGAAAAGGGATTTTCCCTGAAATGCTCCAACCTGTTCTCTCTTTGATACAATTTCAATAATGCGAAAGCACTGCAAATTGTGACGCCTTCAAAAACACCGGTGGCTATTGACTCGATGTTTGACTTTGCTGCCCAATTTGGTGCACTGGCAATACAATAGGAAACCTGGATTTGAGAAAGCTTCAATCCACACAGCTTCCAATAGAATTCAAGGCAAAAGAGAAAGATCTGAAGTCAAATATGAGGAAGTATGAGTCATCAAAACCGGTCATCAAAGCCAGTCATCAAAACCAGTCATCAAAACCAGTACGAGTCATCAAAAGTGAGTTGATTTAAGTTTCAGGATTGAATAGACTCTTAAACTTAGTAAAGTGCTTTTAAGATTGAGAATTCTAGACTTGTTTTTTTGAAATTCATTTACCTTTCGATTATTCGAGTAAATACGTTTACTCAAATAGAAGACCGGCCTCGATTATAAGACCGTCTCAAATAGAAGACGGGTTCTAGGGGATGATCGAAAAATAGAAGACCGTCTCGAATATAAGACCGATATTATATTCAAGACACCGCTTTCTATTCTGCGCGAAAGTGGACGTACTCAAATACGGGAAAAGAATAAGGGAATTTAACCAATAGGGTAAAAATATTATATTTTCATTCAATAGCACTATTTGTTTTTGGTATTTTTCCATTATACCTCAGGCATCTCCACATTTCCCTTATACTCCCACCATTTTGACTCTGTTTATTTGATTATCTGGTAATTTTTATATAAAAACTGGCGGGATATAACGGAAATATGAA